ACTGGAGGCACCACATGCTTTGATTTTGACTATTTTTGACCAGAAGATGCAAATTTACCTGGTTTGCTCACAGTTTAGTAGCAGAAAAAATTTATTTAGTGTGTAGTTCCACTTTAAAGGTGCATTGTGTAACTTTTCAGGTGGCGGGTCTGTAAAATGCTTTTCTCCATGGAGATGTTATTTCTTTGTCTTGAATGTTTCACAGTATGGTATTAAACAGACATGTCAAACTCAGGCCCGGGGGCTAAATTTGGCCCACGATATAATTCTATTTGGCTCGCGAGATCATATCAAATATATATTAAAGCTGGTCAACCGGCTGCCGCACCAGTACAGCACATGCACCACTAATACTACAAATCCCAGAATGCTTTGCAAATGTGTTGGTGCATCTTGACAGGTTATTGACTTGTGGGGGGAAAAAAAAAAAAAAAAGAAAAGAAACATTTAAAAGGAGTTCAAAACGGATATATACTACAGATAGGCTATAGAGACATTATTTAAAATTTTGTTATTTTATATTTTGCAATGTTTGTCAATGTCAGTGTTTAAGCAAAACTATTATTAAACATTTATTTTAATAAGAAAAGTTTAACATTACATATCTTGAAAGAAGAGAATAGTTTAGCTCTCGACTTTGTCCCAGTTTTTAATTTTGGCCTCTGTGAATTTGAGTTTGACATCCCTGGTATTAAACTTTTTTTTATCTTCATGGAGACCCAACCAGACCAAGTTACAGGTCAGATCTGTGGAGAGGCAGGCAACCCTGCTCACAGTCAAAATGCCTGTTTTTCTAGGTATTTCTAGGCTGTAAATCCATCTGTAATTGAATAAATGTGAAGTAGAGGTGTTTAATGTCATACTGTGGAACATTCCAGGCAGCGCAATGACATTTCCATAGAAACAAGCAGGTGACAGACTGTAACAAACAGGTTGTTTTGTTACCCAGAACTGCACTAAGCACCTTCACCCTTCACTAGGACACTTTAAAACACTGCACTTTCATAGCACACAGCGCTTTCAACATATTTGCACATGACAAAATAAATTGCACACAATTGGTTTTAAAAAATATTTATTGTCTTTCCTTTTACCATTTTTTTTAAATCCTGAGGCACAGTGGCACTTTAATTGGAAGCTGCTTGTCCCTGGAGGAAAAGGAGACAATTACCAATTACATTTTAAATTGAAGTTGTGCAATATATGGTGCAATATCTGTTTTTGGAATGTTTTAAGTGTTGTTGTGTTTAGTAGTGTATTTTATTGTGTTTTAATGAATGGTGTGGATCTGCTTTTACTTAACTCCTTTTTATCTTCTGTCCAGGTGCGAAAAGCGTCCCCTGGAAACGAGCTCCCTCTTTTAAGGTTCCGGGCTGGACCATGTGTATTATTTTGTACAGGGGTTTTAGGTTAGGTGTTTTATTGGTTTATGGGTTTTAACATTTAATTGGTGTATGGTTTTAGGGTTTTTATGTATATAGTTGGTGATTTTAATAGTTAACTGGTTTTGGGTTGTTTTATGGAGGTTTAGGTTATGATTTTAAGCTAATGATAATTTTTACCATCCCTATTTTAGCATAGTAGTTTTATCCAATCAGTAGGACCAGCATAAAAGGCGCCTCCAAACATCAGTCTGGGTTCTGCTGCTGGAGAGGAAACTGCTGCCGGCCTCCATTTTGCACCCTGCACTTTTTTTGCACTTGCACTTTTGTATCATTGGAAAACAAAAGTAAACCGTGGACCACAACTACCTGTCTGTGTCTGCATTTTTTTTAGCCTTACTCACTGAACCCCAAGCCACTCACGGTCACGAAAAAAGTTACACAATGCACCTTTAATTAAAAATGGCAGAAAAGGGCAACAAATAAAATAGATAACAATAATCACTGGCTTTGGTGTGACCTAACAGTCTCCATTTTGTTGTTAATGTTTGTTTGAAGCATCAGCGCTCAACACAGTGAAATGTTCCACGCAAAATTCCAGAAAGTTCAACAAGTCTTTTGTTTTGTGGCATTGTGTGCTGTCAAGAAAGGCCCATACGCCACGAGGACTCCGCCTACGTAAGCAAACATCGTGAAACATTCTCTGGACCTCCATCGCCGGGCGCGTTATTGTCATTCTGAGGAAGACAGAAAAACGTTATGTATTATTTTTTTTATTAGGGATGTATATAAACATTTTATCTGATGCAATTTTTGAGACATTCAGTGGTAAGAGTTAAACTAAAACAATTATACATAAAGAAAAAGAAACGTAAAGACTAGAGCTTTGCGTTTCGACTGTGACTCCCACTAACTATCTCCATTTATTAGGATATTTTTCTGAAATGAGTGACAAAAAAATATCGAACTTTTCCATGATACTCTAATAACTGGGGATAGATGTGGAGGAAACACGTCACGTCACTCAAAATGTAAAAAAAAAACCCAATAAAACATATATTAAGAAAATAGAATGTCTTATTTTGATTTTGTTCAGCACACCATCCTGCTGTTGAGTCTCGTCATGATGTCCCGGGCAAGAGTAAAAAAGGCCTGAAAAGAGAGATACAAGATGTTTAAAGCTGTCATCTGTAATAAGAACTGCCAACCCTCCCTGTTGTAATTCTTACACTTTACCACTAGATGTTGCCTATGTGCCCAAAAGTGATTATTTGAGTTATGTTTAGTTCTGAGTTTGCTCACGGCTTTTGTTTGTTACTTTTCTTTGACAAATAGTCACTACATTTATGCTTTTTCTGGATTCAGTGTTTAAGCAAAACTATTATTAAACATTTATTTTAATAAGAAAAGGTTTAACATTACATATCTCAAAAGAAGAGAAAACATGCAGAGGCTGTTGAAATTTTAAAGTAAATATTTAGTTTGACCCACGACCCAGTTTTTAATTTTGAGTTTGACACCCCTGGTTTAAATACATTGAGGTTTTGCCCCTTTTATGTTGTTCATTGACCTGACTCACACAGATTGAGATGTGTAGGGTGCATCATTTGCCCAACGTTTTGAAATTTTTTTTAAAATCAATCTGTACCTAGTGTCATTTTTTTAAACTTGCCAAAGTAAACTTCCATGAGAGATTTCATGAAATTCTATTGATGTCTGCTGGGTCCACCAAGCCTCTGAAGTTTAGTACCTGCAGAAGCCTTAAATCTGAGCTGAAAAATCTGTTTTTCTTTAATAACATCCTTATCTTTTCTGGAAACTTGGGTTTACCAAACCCTGAGACATACCTGTCATTGGGACGCTCTGGTGACGTCACACTCGCTTACTCCACTTTTTATACAGTCTATGATCACTACAGAAAGAACAAACTTTATGTCTCTCATTTCATCTTTGGCCTTTGTGGATATTGGATTATTAAGAAAAACACTTATGAAGACAGAGATATACAATTGGTTTAAAAAATGCACAACAGCTAAATTTATATTCAACTTTCATTGAAACCATGACCCTAAATGCATCAATTTTAAAGTTATTTGAGAAAATTAAATTTTTCTGCCAGAGCCTTATGGACACCGTTAAGGTGGAACTTAAGAGACTTGGTGGAGCCAGTAGATATTATTGAATTGAGCTAATATTCCACAGATTTTCTTTTATTTGGTATTGTCACATTTTAAAAGTGGGTACAAGTTGAATTTCTGACACTGGGGCAAATGATGCACCCTAACATCCACACATTATCAATCAAGAAAAAATGGAATCCAGTTGAGAGAAAAGCACCTTTCCTGTCCACAGATTCCCAAAGTGCTCCCCTCGGCACTTTTGTCAAAAATAAAAGTCTGTATTTTTGCTAAAATAGTCTGAAGTGTTTCAGACTTGTACACTCACCTCTTCTACATTGATGCCGGACTTTGCACTGATCTCCAAAAACTTTAGTCCATAGTCCGTCGCCAACTAGAAACACCAAAACAAAACAGTCCATTTTTAAATATAATATCACTGGTTTACACTTTAATATATTCACACAGTCTGTACCTTCTCTCCACTTTCTTTGGACACCTGTCTCTTGTCGTCCAGGTCACAATTGTTTCCCAGAATTATTCTCTCCACGTCTGAGGAGGCGTGCTGGAAAATACAGGGTATAAGTACAAGTACAGTGTGTAAGAAAACTGTGTAGTATTATTACAGCATTCACTAAAGGATATTTAGAATATTTATCTACTTAATTTGAGTTGGGGTTAAACACTTTTGGGGAACATGTTTAAGACTGATTTCATTCATCCATTGTGTGGCTGCTCAAATACAGTTTTGAGTGTTACTTTATGACGTCTCTGTGTAACTGGAGTCTTACTTGTTCCATGTCTCTGATCCAGTCCTGCAGGCTGTCGAAGGATTTCTTGTTGGTGATGTCGTACACCAACATGATGCCCTGCACGGACAGGAAGTGAGGTCAGAGGGGACAGGACTAAACCCAGAACATAGACTTGACCAGAATTAGAACAGGACCAAACCAAGTCTACATTTGGACTGAGACTAGGCTAAAACAAGGACAAAAGAACTGTGAGTGCATCCTGGCACTCACATCCAAGGCTAAACCAGGACTTAACCAGGACTAAACCAGAGCTGAACCAGGACTGAACCAGGACTGAACCAGGACTGAGTGTCAGGACGGGCCAGGACCAGGTCTGGACTGAGACCGGGACCAGAGCAGGACCAAACTGGGACTGAGGCCAGGACTGAGACCGGTTTAAACCTGGTTTAAACCTGGTTTAGACCTGGTTTAGACTTAGTTCAGTTCAGGTTTAGACCTGGTTTAGTCCTGTTTTAATCCTGGTTCAGTCCGTATGCAGCACAAAAGTCTGGCATCGCAGTTTCAGTCATGTAAACGGGAATCGGTTGTTGTCCGTTTTTCCATTATTCATTTAAACATAAAATTGAAAACTGAAAAAACAAATCATGATCCGTTGACGGTGTTGAAGTTGAGGCCCCTTCCCGCCCAGACCGCTGGTTTAGCCGGGAGCGGGTACGACGAGCCTTTCAGCGGCAGTTACAGAGACGGAGGCAACAGTTTTTCAATATAAAGTGAGCTGGAGCTGATGGAGCCAGAAAAGCTCCCATGCTCACTTCCTGTTTGGAACGTGGCGGCTCGCAGGTTAACTATGTCCATTTCCACATCTAACTAGAAGCGGTTGGCGTGATTTTGATGCGACGGTCTGAACCCAACATTAAACTAAATTGGATAACAACTCTAAATAAGACACTTCTGAATTAGTTTTACTCACATTAGCTCCTCTGTAATAGGCCGTCGTTATTGTTTTGAAGCGCTGCTGACCCGCTGTGTCCCTGAAACAAAACACGCCTCATATTACTGGAGATATACTGTAGGTTTTGGACTATAAGTCACTCTGGAGTATAAGTTGCACCAGCCAAAAAATGCGTAATGAAGACAAAAAAATAAAACATATATAAGTCGCACTTTTGGGGGGAAATTTGGTATATAAAATCAGAGACCAGAAACCTACATTTCATCTTGAAAGACTAGTAATAACAATAGAACAGAGAACAACAGACTGTTAACGTCACATATGAACAGTTCTTCAGATAATTATAACATAAACAACAGAACAGAACAAGTTTAACGAACTCTCCATCTCACTTTAAATCACTAAATCCAATGAATTCTTCATCCTCAGTGTCACTTCTGAGCAACTCCACGACCTCCGGAGGTAAACAGAGCGCCGCTTCCTTTTCTGTGTAGCTGTCGTCAGACTCAGCATTAGTTCCAGTTAGAATTATTTCGGCCTTTCTGAATCCCGACAGGATGGTTTTGGTGTCAATGAAGTCCAGACTTTGTCAATTCATCCAGTGACTTCAGGAAAGTTGCATGGTGCATCCTCCCGGTTCCAGTCATCACTCAATCCAAACTTTCTTTCTGCTGCTTGATTACCATTTTCTACTGAATATTTCCCTACTTACAGCAGGACAGAGGCTCTTTCTGTAGGAGACATGCGCAGTAGAGCCAAGTGACAGTGGTACAGAAGTAATAAGAGCAGCAGATACTGACACACAAGACTAGAGCCTCTCAGGCAGGAAACACCCAAACCACGAAAAAAGGGTAACTTATAGTCCAAAAAATATGGTGTGTATATATATATTTTTTTTTACAATATATGATTTACCAGGATTTTTGCAATAAACAAATTCAAAGTTTTAGACTCAAAAAAAGCACTCACCATATCTGAAGTTTGATTTTCTTACCGTCCAACTCTACTGTCTTGATTTTGAAGTCAGCACCTTATGAAAAAACAAAAAAAAACCAAAAACATTATTGTCATGTAAAACTTTGTCACTTCTTTGATGGTTTCTTGTCTCCATGAAGCTGAATGCTCCATTGTTTGATCTGTATGACTTTCAGTTTCCTGTTATATAAAACATTTTGAGGACTTGTGATTTTTGTGATTATTTTATTGCTTGTTTGACTTATAATTATTATGACCGTTATTTCAATTAGACATAAGTTGATTCGAAACATCCACAAGTGTCAAGTTTCAAAAATTTTCCATGACTTTTTCATGACCTCAAGTGAATTTTCCATGACATTACGGCACCTACATCTGTAGACTTTTAGAGCTAAATATGAAATGTTAATCCACTGTTTTCCACTCACCTTATGGTTTGGTATTATAATTTTTTAACATTCAAAATACTGTCAGTGCATTTATTGGTGTCTCTTTTAAACAAAAGACACAGACATTCGGAAATGATCGTAATAACCTAATGAGAACTAAGTTGAAGCTGCGTAAAAGAGATACTAAAATTCTATGACTTTTCCAGAATTTCCATGACTGTGGGAACCTTGCATCCATGTCCCCCTTTTTTTTCCTTCTACAATGATCCTGTTGCATTATGGGTAATAAGTCAGCGAAGGATATACTCTTATATCCTTGGTAAATTAGCCACATGTACCAAACACAGGACACATTATGGAGGAACAAGACGGACAGTGAGTGATGACCTGGAGGCCCTACCACGCCCAGACCAGACCACGGTAAGACACTTTACATTTGAGAAACAGAAACCAGTCTGCAGACTCTGTACTCGAGTACTCCGGGGTACAGACTGGGAGCAGACTCAGAGAATGGACTTGAGGAGTTCACAAGTGCACACTCAACTTTGGGACCTGATGACATCAACTAAAGCTCATGTCCCCGTCTCAGCCTGTTATAACCCTGAGCCCTGTTCCTCATTTAGGCCGAATGTTTGAGCTTTTGTCAGTTTTGTTTATTCGGGTCAAAGGTTTACGCAAATAACTCGTGTAAGAACATAAGACTAATAAACATTGTGTCTTTAAGGTGCAGTATTGTGAAATAACTGAACTAATACATCTATAATAACTATAGGCCAATACACTTCTTCCAGGGACACATTTAGGCCTGTTATTTTTATGCTTGGAATAATAATAAATAATTCAACAAAGTAACTGTAATCCAATTACCACTCATTGAAACAGTAACTGTAACTGAATACAGTTACTCATAATTTGTACTCTGATTACGTAACTCCGGTACATGTAATCTGTTACTCCCCAACACTGATAATGGACATAAAAAGAGAAGGATGGGAGCCCACTGAGTACAATCGTCTGCACAGTCACCATTTCATTTCTGGTGAGGGACCTCCACACAAATGAAGAAGGGATTTACAGTAAATGAACTGATACATTTTTTGTAGGTATGAAGAATGATAACCCACTTTCACCAGATTACGTCCCGTCATATACACACAATCGCCAGTGAAAGTCAAAGCAAAACATTCACTTATTTCCTATGAAAGAAGATCTAACATAAAAAAAAAAAAAACAAATACTGGAGGTCACAGAGCGAGCGATGATTAAACTAATAAAGCGGTCAGACTGTACAACAAACACTGCTAACACTGAACATGTGCCATTCAATTATATCCATGTGCAATTATTTTTAAGTCTATTTTTAAATTATTTTTAAGATATTATTTATTATCTGTTTTATTATATGTTACCTTTTCCTGCTGTTCTGAAATTGCGCGTTGCAACACTGGAATTTCCCCACTGTGGGACTAATAAAGGCATATCTTATCTTATCAAAATTAGACAGGGATCTATTCCACAACCCAGGAGGACGACTTTATGGCAGCTGATCTAACGAGCTGGCGATTTTGGACAATTTTATGTTGTTTTTGCTGTTTAAAGTCGCCATGATTGTATTGTAATAAACTGAATTAAACCATCCGGATCAACCCCAATCTCGAAGTAATCCATTAAATTACTTACAGTGAGTAACGTAATCTGAATACTTTAGATTACTTGATATTGTCATGCTTTTTAGTTTAGTCCTGTTTTAGTCCTGGTTTAGTCCTAGTTTAGTCTTGGTTTTAGTCCTAGTTTAGTCCTGGTTTTAGTCCTGGATTAGTCCTAGTTTAGTCCTGGTTTTAGTCCTGGTTTAGTCCTAGTTTAGTCTTGGTTTTAGTCCTAGTTTAGTCCTAGTTTAGTTCTGGTTTTAGTCCTGGTTTAGTCCTAGTTTAGTTCTGGTTTTAGTCCTGGTTTAGTCCTAGTTTAGTTCTGGTTTTAGTCCTGGTTTAGTCCTAGTTTAGTTCTGGTTTAGTCCTGGTTTAGTCCTAGTTTAGTCCTAGTTTAGTTCTGGTTTTGTCCTAGTTTAGTCCTAGTTTAGTTCTGGTTTAGTCCTAGTTTAGTTCTGGTTTTAGTCCTGGTTTAGTTCTGGTTTAGTCCTAGTTTAGTCCTAGTTTAGGTTCTGGTTTAGTTCTAGTTTAGTCCTAGTTTAGTTCTGGTTTAGTCCTGGTTTAGTTCTGGTTTAGTCCTGGTTTAGTTCTGGTTTTAGTCCTGGTTTAGCCCAAAATGTGAAAACTGAAAATTACCGCCCTGTAATCCATTTATTTCAACAAAGTAACTTTAATCCAATTACCACTCACTGAAACAGTAACTGTAACTGAATACAGTTACTCATAATTTGTACTCTGATTACGTAACTCCAGTACATGTAATCTGTTACTCCCCAACACTGACCAGGACTAAACCAGGTCTGAACAGGTCTGAACACAGTGGACCAGAGCCAAATGTCAGTGCGTATTTTCTTACCCATAGTGGTTATAAAGGTTGTGTTGCACGTGTCTCCCGTGACTCTGAAGAGGATGTCCTTTTTCCCGACGCCGTCATCTCCGATCAGCAGCAGCTTGAACAGATGATCGTACGTTTTGGCCATGGCTCCAGCTCCAGATTTGACAGTTTCACTTTTTTTTTTTTTTTTTTTTTGAACCAGCTGATCCAATAAGGAGAAGTCCTTATTTCACAAGTGCAGTGTTTTCGCTAAAATGTCCCGAAATGTGAGGCACTACAGCGTTTTCAACAACTTTTAATAAGTCGATTTGAGTTCTCTACACCTCCATCTCCCTCTCTATCTCCGCTTCCGCATACACTCACATTGAGACACACATTGAGACATACATCCTTTTTTTTTTTTCTTCATAACCTCTCCCTTACCAAAGATCTCTGTTTTCTCACACAGACTCTAGTTATGATGGCCAAATATTATATACACAAAATGTAATAAAGCAACTGTCTTTATTTACTCCCAGACAATAAAAAAACGGTACAACATACATTATCTACAGAATATTCCCAGGAATTGTGTGCAGAAAAATAGAACATTTGGCATTTTTGTACTGTGAATTTCTTCAGTCAGCAGTTTTTAAATGTGCATAATAAATGTAAAACAGTATAAACACTATCAGAAAGTGAAATATGTTTTTTGTTTCCTTAATAGAGATTTCTTAAAAGTGGAAATCTCAGGATATGTCTTGTAATTTCCACTTTTGCCACTAGATGTGACCAAACAGCTCCAAAATCACAGCACATTAAAAACACTAGAAAGTATGATTTTCTTTTACTTAGTTTAAGAAATGCACTTCACTCAGCGTTCTGACAACAATAATTTCTCAATGTGACAATTTAAGTTTTAACAAAATACACAGGTAAGGCATCAATGTATAGGAAAGCCCAAAATGCAACGTTTTGACTAAATATTTAGTTCAAGAGCAAAATAAACTGAGGTTATTTGCATAGAAGTGATAAACATACTGCTAAAATATACAAATAATTCACCAAAAGTAAAAAATTACAAAAAAAAAAGTGTCCCTCATTATCATAGCATCATGTTCCATCCAGGATTTAATCAAGTTTAAACAAGAAATAAAATAAGACCCTTCCTTTAGTGTGTTCCTCCGTCTTGTTTTACTTCAGCTTGTTTGGGTAAGTCTGTATTTTGTGGCTGTGTCCCATTGAAAAGGCCTATACGCCACGAGGACCAATCAGAGCGTCCCACGGCTCCAGACTCCGCCTACAAAAGGGAACATCCTCCACCGCCGGGCGCATTATCGTTCAACCCACCATTTACTTATTGAGTCTCGTCATGATGTCCCGGGCGAGAGTGAAAAAGGCCTGAAAAGAGAAATACAAGATACAAGAGTGTTGTTTAAAACTACCATCTGTAATTAGACTGGCTGATCCGGTCCTGGTTTAGTTCAGTTTTAGATCTGGTTTAATCATGTTAAATCAGGTGGGATTGTTTCTACTTTTTCCACATTTTCATGATATTTGTGCCAAGTTGGAGAACAGACTTGTACACTCACCTCTTCTACATTGACGCCGGACTTTGCACTGACCTCCAAAAACCTCATTCCACAATTTATCGCCAACTAGAAACAGCAAAACAAAACTTTAAATATGATACCATTGGTTTACACTTCAATATATTCACACAGTCCGTACCATCTCTCCTCTTTCTCTGCACACCTGTCTGGGGCTCCTGTCGTTCGGGTCACATTTGTTTCCCAAAAGTATCCTGTCTGCATCTGAGGGCACATGCTGACAAATACAGGGTATAAGTACAGGTATATTGTGTATAAGAAAACTGTTGAGTATTATTACAGCATTCACTAAAGGATATTTAGATATTTAGATATTTAGACATTTGTGTTGGCGTTAAACACTTGTGCATGTTTAAGATTGATTTCATTCAGAACTCTGCGGCTCCTAGCTCGAACCAGGAATTACAAGCACACAAGTCCTGATCTCAGTGCGTAATCAATGTGTGAATTACCTTTTCCAGCTGGTTGGGAGGCAGGTAGGACTTACTTTCCCCAAAAGTCTGAGCTGAAAGAAGCTGTTTTTGACCACAGAGCCACCGGTAATATGATGCTTTTAAAATGGACAAACCGGTTTGTCCATTTTAAAAGCATCATCAATAAAAACATCAAGGCTTTTTAAAAACAGGTGGCAGTAGGAAAACAACTGATTAAAGGCCAAATTAGATTCTCCGAATATCACAATTTCAGTTTTATTGTCATTTAGGTTCAGAAAAGTCAGCAACATCCAGAATTTTGTGGTTAACAGTGTCAAATGCCTCTGTCAGGTCTAGGAGCACCAGCACAGAAAAGCTACCAGAATCAGAAATTAAAAACAGATCATAAAAATGTTCAAAAGTGCAGTTTCTGTGCTGTGTTTGGGACACATTAATCAAGTTTTAAATACAAGGATCAATACAATGAAAAACTTCTTTAAAACATCTTATCCGGCAGCAGACCGAAGGGACAGTTTGCGACTCTTAGACTTTGTACGATCTCGGATAAGTCAGAGAGGGTCATAGGCTCAAAGTCTCTAAAATCAACTGTACAGGGAGAAACAACACTGGGGTCTGGGGCAGCAAAAATTCTACAGAACAAAAGGGATTTACAATCTTGTTCAAAACATTAAACAGAACTTGGGGTTTGTTACAATTGTAAGTAACTGTATGATGATTAATAGTAGTAATTTTATGATGATTATTTATGTTTTGATTAGTTTGTTTTGTGATTTTAATGTCTTTCTTATTCTGTAAAGCACTTTGAATTACTTAGTGTACGAATTGTGCAATAAACTTCCCTTGCCTTCATGCATTGTAGAGCCCCCAAAAACAGAAAAAAATATAATCACAACTATTTTAATTAGGCTATAGCTGCAAAATTAATCAAATTGATATCGCAATTTGAAAAGACAAAATTAGAGAACTGCAAAGGTTGCAATAATTTTTACACAAACAACAAAATATCCTGTCTCATGCTGTATAAAAAACTGTCAACCCTGTAATTTAGATCTGTGATTGCTGTATTATTTTGTCATCTCATATTTCTTTTTGTCAATTCTCATGTTTAAATTGTGACCTTTGAACAGAATCCTATTATAAAAACTAAAATTGTAAAAATGTTATTTTTCCCACATTGTTCAGCCCTAAATTAGACTATAGTTGAAATTACGATTATTTACTTGAGATCTCAATAAAAGTTTTACTTAACTATATCTAACTAATAACGAATGTGGTCAACTAAGACACAATTGACTGACTAATCATAAATATCTAATTTGTAATCAGTCAATAATCACAATTAATTGCTTCATTCCACAGCCTCATTGCACTGACTTTGGATATCCACTAGAGGGCAGCACATATGACATTTTGAGTGTTACATTATGACATAACTGTGTAACTGGAGTCTCACCTCCTCGATGAAGCTGATCCAGTCCTTCAGGCTGTTAAAGGACCACTCGCTGGTGACGTCATACACCAGCATGATGCCCTGCATGGACAGGAAGTGAGGTCAGAGGGGACGGGAAATGGCATCGGTGCAGATAGTACCAACTCTACCAACTCGCACAGAAACAGGCCACACCTCATTTCTCTTTCCTTGCTTCCTTCTTCTTGATAGACACATCAAGAATCTCAGGCTTTCAGTCATTGTGCAATGTATACTGGGAAGGATTCTCTGAAAAAGTGAGCATCAAACCGCCATGTTTGATTTTACAGTGGGATGCGTCTATTGACAAAGTCAATTTTTTCAAGTCTTTTGAACCATATCACTTTTGTTTCTGGTTTTGATATTGTCATATTTTAGTTTTGGGATTCGGACATCATTAATTGTGTGGTTGTTGAATGTCCTAACAGCGGACAGGGATAAGGGGATAAGGATAAACAGTCTTTTCCCTTCAAAAATGAACTGATATCTCATAAACATGTGGTCCCTGTGCAGCCTTCAAAGACACTGACACAACAGCACAGCTCCGGTCTGACGGTGAGTGTCACAGACTGGGCCACACTGAGCTGCGGCTGGACCAGGTGCAGTCTGAGCCCGGGTTAGATAAATCCATGTTTGTGTTTGTTAGGCATTGTACGTCAGCATCTCTGACTCTGTTCCACAGTAGAATCTCCTTACACTGAAATGTTTTCACCTCTGAGGTTTCTGTCACTTCACCAAATTTAACAAGAACAAACTAAAACACGGACAGTCTGATGATCATTTTACTGCGGAATTAATAATGTGTTATCGTTTATGGCAGGACATGTTTTTAATATAATGATTTATTTAAAAATACTTTTACAAAATAAATGTATAAAATAGCACTGTGGTGGTCATTATCAACATTAATACGGGGCGGCAGTAGCTCAGTTGGTAGAGCATTTGCCCACTGATCTGAAGGTTGGAGGTTTGATTCCAGCTCTCGACATAAACATCACAGGTTGAGCGGTCAGATCCACTGACCCACAGGTTGGCTGGTGTGATTCCAGCTCCCACAGATGAATGCTGTCATTGTGTCCTTGGGCAAGACACTTAACCCACTTTGCCCACAGTGTCTGTGTACACTGGTGAATGAATGGGTGAGTGGTTCCTTGTTGTAAAGCTATAGAAAAATGTGACCATTTACAGTGGTGGGCCTGCTCTCTGCTACTATGACATTCCAACAAAAAATGTAAAACCAGTGATTTTATTACATAAATTAAATCACAATTTTGTATTTTTTAGGTCTAAAACTCTATCAAACATAAAATAAATGAGTATCCTATCAGATTTAGTATAGTTCTGGGGATTATCTGCTTGCCCTAGCGTTAAAACTGTGCTCAGTGCTGGCCTCGGCTCAGTCCTGTCATGACTGCACTCGCCACTAGCTGGCGCTAGAGTGTTTGTTTGCCTAAGTGACTAGTGCTAGCTCAGTCTACTTCACTTTTGACAAATTTTGAAAGAAAAAGATAGAATGTGCTTTCATTTGGACTTTCTTGTTTGACACACAATGGGATTATTTTTCAAAGAGGAGCAGTTTATGTTTGATACATAAGTTTTGGTCACTTTAGGCCCCAGACGGTTATATCTGTAAATATGGGCAGCTGGTCACGGTCCTGCATTAACCCATTTATTATAATGAACCCAGCAGCAAATAAATTAAATATAACCTAGAATTTTGTAGAAAAAAAATAACCCGAAAAGTTGTGTTAAAATAATAAACCAAATTGCTGGGTCAAAATAACACTGAGTTTGTTGGTCCAGTGCTGGGTTAATATTTTATACAGGTTGGGTTATTTTTAAGCAGCATTTTTTTTTGTGTCTAGTTTTAAGACTAAAAGGAGGAGTCTGATCCCTATGGAGTCAGAAGTGCGCCGATGAACACTTCCTATTTGTAACTCAGTGGCTAACGGGTGAACTATGTCCATTTGGTCTACTGTATAGTCTGCCCTCCAAGACGTTTAACTAGAAGCATTATATTGACGCCGTGGTCTGAACCCAGCATTAGACTGAACTGGATATTAACTCTAAATGAGACTCTTCTAAATAAATCCTGTAAAAGAATAATTAATAAATTTTACTAACCTTAGCATATCTGCACATGGACGAAATTATTCCTCTGTGTAATGGATAACCCCCTGTGTCACTGAAACAAAAGACGCCTCATTAACAGAGATACAGATAGTTTTTTGTTTTTTTTGCAAGTTATGATAGAAAATTATGAATCAATATAACAATTACCAGTACCTGTAATTTTATGGTAAACAAGTTAAAAGTTTTAGACTGAAAAAAAGCACTCACCAATATTTGAAGTAAGATTTTCTTGCCGTCCAACTCAAACATTTTGTTTTTGAAGTCAAGCACCTAAAGAAAAGAACAAAACACTATTGTCATGCAAAACTGTAGAAGTTAAAGGTTCATTGTGTAACTTTTCAGGTGGAGGTTTCATCAGCTTCTTGTTTCCATGGAGATGTTATTGCTTTACCTGGAATGTTCCACTGTATGACTATTCATTATCTGTTTTTTCACTTTGGTTTTGGAGACAGATTATGAAGAAAATAGTTGTTTCTTCTTATTCTTATTTTTGGTTTTATTTTGAAAAACGAATGAACGAATGACACACTCATTCAAAGGTTGCTCAAATACATGCATCAAGAATCTCGGACTTCCGGTCATTGCACAGTGCATACTGGGAAGGATTTTCCGAAAAAGTGAGCATCAAACCGCCATGTTTGTTTTCCCAGTGGGATGTGTCTATTGACAAAGTCGATCTTTTCAAGTCTTTTGAACCATATCGCTTTTGTTTCTGGTTCTGATATTATCATATTTTAGTTTTTGGGATTCGGACATCGTTAATTGTGTGGTTGTTGGATGTCCTCACAGATTTATGTGATTGCAAACCTCTGTTCAAACTGTTTCCCTTCCCAACAGAATTGAAAAATAGTGAAAGGCGATGGTGATGCGCAGGATTGGATACACGGGAAGGACAAAAAAGGAAACTATGACCGCCTAAATCATCCCAAGTTTGCAGCAAACATTTTGTATGTGGAGCACCATCAAAGCAAAACCCAATCCTTCACTCAGCCTTGGTTACAAATTTAAAAAGTCAACGCCAAAGCGAAAGGCACCAGAAACACCTTCCACTGCAAAGAGACCAAGACGTGATGTTGCTGTAAAACCACAAGAACAAGAAAGTGTGAAAGTGCAAGCTCAGCCTGTTTGTCTTCTGCACCTCTTGCTTAACAAACAGGATCCCACTTTGATGGAGCTCCACATACAAAATGTTCACTGCAAACAGTCTAAATTTTAGACAGTGAAATGTTTCCTTTTTGGTCCTTCCTGTGGATCAATACTGCCTCTCGTCTTCGCCTTTCACTATTTTTCAATTCCGTTGGGAAGGGAAAGAGTTTGAACAGAGGTTTGCAGTCACACACATCTGATTCACTTTTGCATTTATGGAGTTCGCAAACACATTTCTTGAGCCGTTTTCTGCTGCTCCAACAACCACACAATTAACGATGTCCGAATCCCAAAACAAAATTTTGACAATATCAGAACCAGAAACAAAAGTGATACGGTTCAAAAGACATGAAAAGATCGGCTTTGTCAATAGATGCATCTCACTGGGAAAATCAAACATGGCGGTTTGATGCTCACTTTTTTGGAAAATCCTTCCCAGTATGCACTGTGCAATGACCGGAAGTCTGAGATTCTTGATGCGTGTATTGGTTGGAGTTAAAATTTTTCATTGTAAACGGAGCGTCTCAAGGCTTTTGATCAGGGGCAAGACAGGAAATGGGCACGCGGTGTCAAAATAAACTTCCGATGCCCTTTCAAAATACGTCCTCTAAAACCACTACAGTCGCGTAAACACCGCGCGTCGCATCAGGAGCTCGGGGAATGACTCGTGATGGACTATGGAAAGTTTACAGATGTGGAGGATAAATATAAAACACTTTCAAAAACAAAATCAGACAGCAACTTTACAAGAACAACTTCAAGTAAAAGGCGCGTGGTGCAGACGAACAAAGTGAAATGGTGAGTAGCTTCATTAATGCAACACCACGGATACGGTTGATTCATCCAATCAACAATGAAAATAAACACAATGTAAAACGTTTAGTGTTTAAACGTGAGGATGCAGTTAGACTATTAGACTAAACCAAGAATGAACAGGTCAATTCTATGGACCAGAGCCACATGCCAGTGCGTATTTTCTTACCGATAGTGGCTGTTGAGTTTGCTTTGAACGTGCCATCGACGGATCTGTGGAAGAGGCACGTTTTCCCGACGCAATTACTTCCTAACATCAAAACAATGAACTTATGATCGTATTTGGCCATGGCTCCAGCTCCGGTTTGGATCAGCGGACCTCCGATCAGCCGCGTCGCGCTCGTGGGGCTGAAACAGTTTCACTTTTGGGAACCAGCTGATCAATTTCTGTAAATGAGAGTGAGAGGCGGTCAAACTACAGTATCTGCGCTAAAATGTCCCGAAATGTGAGGCACTGCAGCGTTGTCAACAGCGTAAATCTTTCAATAAGTACACTTCTCTCTCTCTCTCTCTCTCTCTGCTTCCTCATACACTCACATTGCGACACACACTGAGAGACACCCCTCCATTAGCAAAGATCTCTGTTTTCTCACACAGACTCTCGTTATGCTGGCCAAATATCATATACACAAAACCAAACGCAGTAAATAACGCACAAAAATAATGAAAAGCAATACTTCCAGACATACAATAAAGGATCATACAATATCTACAGAATTTCCACCTTCATTTTGTTTTAACAATTGTTCATTTGGGATATATTTTGTATATATACACATATACATAATAAAAAATAATATATACATAATAAGAAATAAAATAATAAAAAAAATATATGATGATGGTGATGGTGAACCAACCAGACATAAGAAACGGAGCAGACCCGTGATGGTGGACATCGCAATACCAAGCGATGACAACGTATGGCAAAAGGAACACGAGAAACTAGAGAAATACCAGGGGCTCAAGGAGGAGCTGGAGAAAGCCTGGAAAGTGAAGGCATCAGTGCTGCCCTTGTTGATTGGAGCACTCGGGACTATAACCCCCGAACTGGAATAGGCTACAGCAGATACCAGGGAAAACAACAGACATCTCAGTCCAGGAAAGTCCAGTACTGGGAACTGCAAAGATACTGTAAGCTCCCAGGCCCAAGCTGGATGAGGGTGAGAGAGACCAACCACCGTATATATATATTTACACATAGCCTTTATTTATTTATTTATTTAAGAAAAGACACACATTGTCATGGACAAGATGTATGACAGGCCTGATGCAGAGACAGCATGGCAAAGACAAGGCTCCATCTGAGTTTTTAAATGATCCAAAAAGAGGCAGGAATCAGCAAAACGGCCCCTGAAGTCTTCAAACTGAGAGCGGCGCAAAATAAATAAATGAATAAGCGTGTGGATATTTAGTAGCAATATCAATGATTTTTACTTTGAATTTGGAAACAACTACTTCCCATGTGTTTAGTCAGCAGTGAGCTGGTCTGAGCCAGGACTGGGCCAGAACTGAGCCAGGACTAAAACCAGGACTGGAACAAGACTAAAACAGGACTCTAAAAGAAGCAGCACAGGACAGCCAAACAGTACTTACTTCCTGAATTTTGTCAGTTCAGCAGGAGGCTTGAGGACTAAGAAAAATTGGTCTGAGGGCCGCATGTGGCCCCTGGACCATAGTTTGACAACCCCTGCTTTACATACTTGTACTGTGATCATAATCTTTTCAATCAATAGTCTTAAAATGTGCATAATAAACGTAAAATCCAAACTCATTGCTGTACCAGCGGCTGATATGGATCTGTCTAACAAATACAGAGAGATATCCTTCTGGATTTCCAGGCAATAAATCTGTATGAAACCTCACAAAGTGTTATTTTAGGCCAAAATGTAAACACAAATATGCTAAATTATCGTCTCTTGTTTTCTTAATACAGATTTCTTTAAAGTGGAAATCTCAGGATATCAATGTTCAATCCGGTGCTTCTAAACCTCTTGTAATTTCCACTATTGCCACTAGATGTCACCAAACAGCCCCCAAAACACAACACATTTAAACACACTACAAAGTATGATTTTCTTTTATTTGGTTAAAGAAATGTACTTCCCTCAATGCTCTGACAACAACAATTTCTCAATGCGACAATTTAAGCTTAAACAAAACACACAGATATGCCATCAAAGTATAGAAAACTAGACATTTAAGAACACAAAATGCAAAGTTTTAACTAAATCTTTGGTTCAAGAACAAAATAAACTGATGTTATTTGCATAGAAGTGATATTATCCCCATTATCACGGCATCATATTCACTGTAAGGTTTAGTTGGCTGAAAAATAAAACTAAACCAGGATTTAAACAAGATTAAACAAGAAATAAAATAAACAACAATTTTTAAAAAGTTAGTTTGATCGCAACACAGTGCAATGTAATGCACGAAATTCAAAAACGTTAAGTTAAAAAGTTAATTCAAAACCATAAAAAGCTCAAATAATATCCTTCCTTCAGTACATTCCCCCGTCTCATTTGGATAAGTCTGTATTTTATGTCTGTGTCCCATTGAAAAAAGCCTATACCCCACAAGGACCAATCAGAGCGTCCCACGGCTCCAGACTCCGCCTACAAAAGTGAACATCCTCTACCGCTGAGCGCATTATTGTCCTCCTGAGGAAGTCTCCTCATGATGTCCCGGGCAAGAGTGAAAAAGGCCTGAAAAGAGAAATACAAGATACAAGAATGTTGTTTAAAACTACCATCTGTAAATGCTCTAAACCATCATAAAGATGTTCGGCCCAGAGAAGACCCTAAGATATGGCTAAAAAGTGTGATCCCAGAGATACAGGACTGCTTCCACTCCACGGACTGGGAGATATTCAGAGTTGAGGGCTTGTTCACACACCAATTCTTAGATGAGAACACTACCGAATTGTTATGATGCTGTATGTTTGATTTTATGAACTATAACATCAACCTGCCCAGTGACGACAAGTGGAAATTAGCACTGGCACTATAACCTGTTACAAAGCATCTCTCCTGTTAAGGTTAATGTTTATTGTGCACTGTCCCTGTCTCATTAAATAAATAAATAAACTAAACTAAACTTCTCCAGCTGCACTAAAGCAGAGAAGCACACACTCCAGAGGGTGGTGAAAAGTGCTGGGAGATTCTTGGGTCCACCCTACCCGAGACTGTCACCATGTACACCTCCCGCCACCTGCACCAGACTCACTACATCCTCAGGGACTGCTCCCACCCAGCACACCGCCTGTTTCACTTGCTTCCTTCTGGACGTACAGGTTACAGGAACAGGTTACAGCCAGAACCACTAGAACGGCTAACAGCCTCTACACCCAGACTATCAGACTCCTCCTTAAACCCGACAGAAGACCAGAGAGGGGAAGGGGGGCAGATTTAAAATTTGCCATCTATTGGTGAAACAAATCAAATAAATTTACAGATGACAGCTTTAATTGCATGCTAAAATTTGCTAAAATAGATAAACTAGCATCACCATGTTTGTTTCGGTTTCTTTGGGCACCTCAATCAGCTCTGTGATTGGTCTAAACCGATGGTGGCCGGGTCAAACAAGATTTAGTTTTTCATTGTTTAGAACTACTTCAGTCAGGGTTTAGTTCAGTTTTAGATCTGGTTTAATCATGTTAAATCAGGTGGGATTCTTTCTAAATTTGGAGAACAAACTTTTGCACTCACCTCTTCTACATTGATGCCGGACTTTGCACTGACCTCCAACAATTTTATTCCATAATCTGTCGCAAACTACAGACACCAAAACAAAACAGTCAGTCTTTAAATATCATGTCCTTGGTTTACACTTAAATACATTCACACAGTCTGTACCTTCTCTCCTCTTTCTTTGGACACCTGTCTGGGTGTGCTGTCGTTCGGGTCACATTTGTTTCCCAGAAGTATCCTGTCTGCATCTGAGGGGGCATGCTGAGAAATACAGGGTGTAAGTACAAGTATATAGTGTATAAGAAAACAGTTAAGTTTTATTACAGCATTCACTAAAGGATATTTAGATTCACAAAATTACTTAATAATGTGCTGTTACTGATATTTTGAGTGTTACATTGTGACTTAACTGTGTAACTGGAGTCTCACCTCCTCGATGAAGCTGATCCAGTCCTTCAGGTTGTCAAAGGTGCTCTCGTTGGTGACGTCATACACCAGCATGATGCCCTGCATGGACAGGAAGTGAGGTCACAAGGGACAGGATATTAAGTCGGTACAGAAAGTACCAACTTTAATCTCACAGAAACAGGCCACGTCTCATTTCTCTTTCCTCGCTTCTTTCTCCTCGATCTTCCATTTTCCAGCTGCCAATTAAATGTGTCATTGTCAGTGTCAAGTGGTGTTACCAAAGAAAACCACGGAAGGAATGAGTAAACATGAGGGAGGCTTCAGGAGTAAGATAAAATAATCAAACTTTATTTGTCTCAGTGAGGAGTTTATATCCTCTCCTCGCTTTGCCTCCTCTGTGGGTGGGACTTATTCACCCATTTCCTGCAAAATTGAGGAGAGGAATCGAGAAGAAGAAAGTGAGGAACGAGAAATGAGACAAGACCATAAACTCCAACTGAGGCAGAGGCCAGGGGTCAGAGAAGGACGAAAACAATGCCGAAGTTTGACCAGAGAAGTTAAGAATAAATACTTAAATGTTCACAATGCAGCAACTAGAAGTCAACAATATGATCTTCTCCACTTTGTAGCGGTGAATAGAGTGACTTGGCATCGAGAAGTGAATGAACTAAAGCAATCTGCTTCTTCTGATAGTTTACACTTCACTGTGATTGGTTAATCCACCTGCCATTCACCGGAACAAAGCTACAAAAATACTATTATGAATGTTCAAAGCTGGAAAAGAACAAGAGTACGCTCAAGCTTGGACAATCATCACATCAAAATTAAACTGAAAGTAAACCTAAACATTTGTTTCATTTAAATTAACAAGACCAGGACTAAAACCAAGTCTAAATTTGGACTCAAACTGGGCTAAATCTAGAACCAAAAATATGGACAACTGTGAATGCACGTTGGGTTATTTTCTCCACCCAGCTGCTGGGTTTGCGTGGTCAGGTCACTCTTTTGGGTTATTTTGCTTAACTCAAACGCTGGGCAAACAGGTTGGGTCATAGTTGGATCATTGCAAATGTAACATAAGCATAAACAGTCTTTTCCCTTCATAAATGAACTGTTATCTCATGAACATGTGGTCCTTGTGCAGCCTTCAAAGACACTGACACAACAGCAGAGCTCCGGTCTGAGTGTGAGTGTCACAGACTGAGCCACACGGAGCCGGACTGAATGTGCTTTCATTTGAACTTTCTTGTTGGACACACAATGGGATTCAAAGAGGAACAGTTTATGCTTGATACCTAAGTTTTGGTCACTTTGGCATCTTTAGGTCCCTGACAGTTATATCTGTAAATATTGGCAGCTGGTCACAGTCCTGCTTTAACCCATTTATTATAATGAACCCAGCAGCAGATAAAGTAAATATAACCCAGAATTTAGTAGAAAAAAAATTACCCGAAAAGTTGTGTTAAAATAATGACCCAAAGTGCTGGGTCAAAATAAGTTTTGTTGGTCCAGTGCTGGGTTATTATTTTACACAGGTTGAGTTATTATTACCTCCGCCAAGGAGGTTATGTTTGTGCCGGCGTTTGTCTGTCTGTTTGTTTGTTTGTTTGTTTGTCTGTTAGCAACATAACTCAAAAAGTTATGGACCGATTCTGATGAAATTTTCAGGATTTGTTGGAAATGTGAAAAGGAAGAACTGATTTCATTTTGGGGGTGATCCGGAAGAAATCCTGGATTCTGGATCACTTTGGAATTTTAGTTAACATTGTGGTAAATGGGGCCAAAAATTTTGTTTCTCAATATCTCGATTAATTATTGACCAAACCCCATGAAATTTGACTCAGGGATGAACAATGGGATCCTCTTTCATATTACAAATTGAAAGATACGAGACAAATATTTATGGAAAACACAATTAATATGAGGGGGACTGTAGTCCTTGGCGGAGGTCTGCGCTCTCTGAGTGCTTTTCTAGTTTTTAAGCAACATTTTTAGTCAATATGAACATTTTAAGACCAAAATGACGAGCCTAACAGCAGCAGTTACAGAGAGAGTGACGACAGTTTTTCTATATAAAATGAGCTGGAGTCGATGGAGCCGTAAGTGCGCTAGTTTGGTCTATAGCCTGCCCTCAAAGTGGTCTAACTAGAAGCATTATATTGACGCCATGGTCTGAACCTAGCATTAGACTGAATTGAATATCAACTAAATGAGACTCTTCTGAATAAATAAAAGAATAATTTATTAATTTTACTAACTTTAGCTTGGCTGCAGTACAATGGAATTACTTTTCTGAAGGATTCATGACCCGCTGTGTCCCTGAAACAAAAGACACCTCGTATTACCAGAGATACAGATTGTTTTTTTGTTGGCAAATTATGATAGAAAATTATGAATCAATATGACAGTTAGTAAATGTAGTAAATAAGTTAAAAGTTTTAGACTGAAAGAAAGCACTCACCATATTTCAAGTAAGATTTTCTTGCCGTCCAAATCTACCGTCTTCTTTGTGACGTTAGCACCTAAAGAAAAACAAAACACTATTGTCATGCAAAACTGCAGAAGTTAAAGGTGCATTGTGTAACTTTTCAGGTGGAGGTTTCATCAGCTTCTTGTTTCCATTTTGAGAACTTAGTCTTAGACAACTTTATTGATCCACAAGGGAAATTATTTGGACACATGAGCTCACACATCACAATATAATACAGTAACAAAGAGCAACAAAAATATAAATTGTAATAATAAAATAAGTAGTAAAAAAAGAGCAAGAGACAAGTGTCAGATGAGACATAATTATGTAAATGTACAAGTCAAAATAACATAGAAAGATAATTAATAAAATACTGTATAAAATCACAGCTTTATACAAGAGGTCATATGAAGACAACAATGATGTGATGACTGACAGGACATAGGGTTATCTGTTACATAAGGTTGAGTTGCTGTACTGTTGTAGGGAGTATTATCTGTTACATAAGGTGAGTTGTTGTTCAGCTGTAGGGAGTATTATAGTATGAATGTAGTCCTGTATCTGTCACTGTTTGAGCGGAGCTGTAGGAGCCTGTTGGAGATGAGCTCCTCTGTCCCTCTATAGTCTGGTGCAGTGGGTGTGCTGTTGTACAGTTGTAGGGAGTATTATCTGTCCCTCTATAGTCTGGTGCAGTGGGTGTGCTGTTGTACAGTTGTAGGGAGTATTATCTGTCCCTCTATAGTCTGGTGCAGTGGGTGAGCAGGAGTGTTCATGATGGAGACCAGTTTGTCCAGTTTACTTGTGTCCCTCACTGTGAAAAATGTCTCCAGCTCACAGCAGATCACATGACCAGCTTTATGGATCAGTTTGTCAATCCACCCAATGTTCATTGTTCATTTTACTGGTGCTGCTCCCACAGCAGACCACAGCCATGTCCCCATTTTCCCCATTCAACAGATATAATAATAACAAATAACAAATAACAAATAACAAAGACTTCGTAATTTTAGGAGTGCTGAAAATATTTAGGGTCTAGACTTGCCCCTGTCCATTCCAGACCATACCAAATCAATTTTTTCTTTTTTTTTTTTCAAATCAATAACATCTGCAGCCTTTTACCATCTAAAAAAATAGCAAAAATCAAACATATAGTGTCTAAAGCAGACTTGGATCCATGCGTTATCCATGCGTTTGTCTTGTCTCACAGCTTCAAACGAGCTGTGAGACGCTGCAGAACATCCAGAACGCTGCAGCTCGGGTCCTGACTCAAACTAGGAAGTACAAGCACATAAGTCCTGTGCTCAGGTCTCTGCACTGGCTCCTGTGGCTCAGAGACTTTAAAGCAGCTCTGCTTGTACAAGTCTCTCCATGGCCGAGTGCCAAATCCATCTGTGACATGTTAATGTCATATGAACCATCTCACACTCTGAGGAGCTCAGGGACCGGCCTCCTGCTGGTGCCCAGAGTCAGGATTAAACACGGGGAGTCAGAGTTTCAGGTTCACGCAGCTAAAACCAGGAACAGTCTTCCTGAACATGTGAGACAGACTTCTACAGTGATGCTGTTTTAAATCCAGGTTCAAAATGGTTCTGTTTAACTGTGCATATAACTGAAAGGTTTTCATTTCACACTCTTCTCTCTAATTTATGTAATTCATGTCTCTCTCTTTCTTTCTGTCTCTTTAAAATTTTTTAATTTTAATCTTTAATTTTATGATGATTATTCATGTTTTGATTAGTTTTTATTGTGATTTTAATGTTTTTCTTATTATGTAAAGCACTTTGAATAACTTTCTGTACGAATTGTGCTATACAAATAAACTTGCCTTGCCTTGCATTGCCAAAACAAGTTTAATCTAAGACAGAGCCAGGCGAGGAAGACAAATCAGAAATTCTAAAGTAAATACTATTAGGCTAGACCAGGGGTGTCAAACATACGGCCCGGGGGCTGGATCCGGCCCTCCAAGACCTTTAATCTGGCCCTCAGCTAATTTTCTACAAAAATATTTTAATTATATTTTCTATTAAATATTGGTACTTTTCTGCGCCGCTTACCATAGCAGTGTCTCCGGTGCCTCTGTGTGTGGCCCCTCCCACCAGAGCAGCACAAATGAAGACTTGTCTCTTTCCAAACGCTCTTAAAGGACGATCGTTTTGACTGTTGACCGTGACACCCTCATCAGTAAAATGTCAAAAATGAGAAAAGTGGAGCCAAGTGCAGGATTTTCCAAGAAAAAATGAATTTATTCCTATTTGCATCCAAGTTAATGTTAAAACATTGTGTTGAAATTACATTTTTCTTAAAGTTTCAGGTTGTTCATAATATTATAATATTTTGTAAAAGAAAGAGTTCATCAATTAAAAAAGATTTCTGTAATAAATTTGCGTTTCTCTGCACAAATATTTGAACTTATTGTTATTTTTGGGGTATATATGCCATGAGTTTTCTGATCCGGCCCCTTTTGGGATCAAAGTAGGTTGGATACAGCCCCTGTATCCCCACTAGACTATTAGACTAAACCAGGACTGAACAGGTCAACACCATGGACCAGAACCAAATGTCAGTGTGTAATTTCTTACCGATAGTGACATTTACTTGTCCGTTGAACGTGCCTTCAACAAATCTGTGTAGGAAGCACGTTTTCCCGACGACGTAATCTCCAATTATCACCAGCTTTAACGTATAGTCGCATTTGGCCATGGCTCCAGCTTCGGTTTGGAGTTTCACTTTTCTGGAACAACCAACACCCACATGTTATTTCCCTAAATGACAGTGAGAGGAAGTCAAACTACAGTTTCTAGTTTGATTCTCTCTCTCTCTCTGTGTCTCCACTTCCGCACTTACTCACATTTCCTTTCCATTCCCAAAGATCTGTTTTCTCTTTACAGACTCAATCTTGTTATGTTGGCCATACAAAACCAAATGGACAGCATTACGGTAATGAAATAAAGCAATAGCCCTACTTCCAGACAATAAAAAATGTTAAAAACAAAAAAGATGTTAAAACATATAAATATCTTCAAAAAATATATTCCTCTACATTTTGTTTAAAGAATTGTTCTTTTGTATAAGTGTTCTTTTAATTATTCTTTCATTATATATTCTACACACTCTTTGTATATGTATATCTAAGTACAAAACAAACACACACACCAAAGTGGTTAAGACACAAAAAAAATGTCAATTTTCACCAAAACTATATGTATTCTTACTTGCACTGTGGATTCGTGGGGAAAAAAATGAAAAATTACATGTTTACAAAAAAGTAACTGTTTAAATAAAGTCAAAAGCAACAGAAATGGACAAAACAAAGGAAAACCCCACATGTACACGGCTACACTGGTGGCGAAAACAACTATTTCCCGTGTGTTTAGTCAGCAGTGACCTGGTCTGAACCAGGACTGTGCCAGAACTGAGCCAGGACTAAACCAGGACTCTAAAAGAAGCAGCACAGGAGAGTCAAACAGTATTTACTGCCTGAATACTGCCAGTTCAGCAGGAGGCTTGAGGACTAAGAAAAATTGGTCTGAGGGCCACATTTGGCTTGCCAGGCCACCTAGTGCCTCCACTCAATTTTATTTCTCTCCAGCGACAAGGTCAGGAATCAAAATACAATAGATGGTTCGCAAAAACCCCAGAAATGCAAGCCATATATTCAGTGTTGAGATCAAGGATTTAAAGCTAGAATAAAAGAATGTTTGGTGAATTTCATCAAGGGGAAAGACGTTATTGTCGTTCTTCCTACGGGATTTGGGAAAAGTTTAATATACCAGTTAGCCCCATTAGCGGCACATTACATACATCATGACCAAATAGCAGCGATTGGTTAAATGATAAAAAGTACCCTCCTACCCTCGAGCAAATGAATTTTAACACTGCAAGGTCAGACGGTTTCTACGAAGTGAAACCAGCTGATGAATCAGGCTAGAATTTAGCCCCTGGACCATCATTCTGACAACCCCTGTGTTACATACTTGTACTGTGAATCTTTTCTGTCATTGTAATGTAAAATTGTTTGCCTGGAAAAATCCAGATTCATCGTTGTACCAGCGGCTGATATGGATCTGTGTAACAAATACAGAGAGATATCCTTCTGGATTTCCAGGCAGTAAATCTGTATGAAAAGTCAGAAAATGAAGTTATTTTAGGCCAAGAGTTAAACACAAATTTGCAAAGTTTTAGTTTCTTGTTTCCAGATTTCTTTAAAGTGGAAATCTCAGGATATCAATGTTCAATCCGGTGCTACTAAACCTCTTGTAATTTCAACTTTTCCCACTAGATGTCACCAAACAGCCCCAAAACAAAACACATTCAAAAACACATAGAAAGTACAATTTTTTTTATTTGGTTGAAGAAATGCATTTCACTCAACGTTCTGACAACAATTTCTCAACGCGGCAATTTAAGTCCAAACAAAACACACAGGTAAGGCATCAACGTATAGAAAAACTAGATATTTAAAAACACAAAAGGCAATGGTTTAACTAAATATTTGGTTCAAGAACAAAATGAACTGAGGTTATTTGCATAGAAGTGATGAAAATACTGCTAAAATGGACAAATAATTGGCCAAACGTAAAAATTACAAAATAAAAATCCCCCCATTATCACAGCGTCATGTTCACAGTTAGATTTAGTTGTGAATCGGCTGAAAAAATTGTCTAAACCGGGACTAAACCAGGACTAAACCAAGACTAAACCAGGACTATACCAAGACTAAATCAGAACTAAACAAGAACTAACGAAAGAGTAAACCAAGATTCAACCAGGAGGACTTATTATTTAATTGATTGGTATTATGATACACCTAAATCTGGATTTGGCCAATTTTCTTTCCTTATTTCATGACCTATGGCTGACACGTTCAACTTGTTTTTAAGCCGGATGCCCTCCCTGTCTGAGAGTTTCAGAATGATGGAGTTTTACTGTTGTCATAGCAATTCAAAATATAAAAACAAACTGTCAACATCCTCAAAATGGCACCAGAAAACAGGAAGCTGAGACCCATGAATCACTACCAGTCACATATAAAGAGTTTAATGTGGACATGTGGGTGAAGTGTCTTGCTCAAGGACACAAAAAAGACCAAACCGTTATCCTTCAGCTCTCCATCCTCATGTATACATTTCTAAATAATCTCTATAATAATAATTAAAGTGGCATTTAAATGAGGTTTGCTTAGAAAATAACACTGCTTGATCTGTAAAAAAAAAAAAATTCATATGTGACAATGATTTGATGACGATGATCTACAAATACAATGATCTAATAGGTTGCGTTCACAGTTTAGATTTTGATTTGACTATTGATACTTTGCAGCGGAGGTCGTCAACATTCCCAACATGAAAATCAAACACCTAAACAGGACCATGGACGCTCGTATCAATCACAGGCTCCTGAAAATGTGCAATCTAAGCCCATCTAGTATTTTTCTTGAGTTTTCAGACAATCTAAAAACATTTTTGGTATTCACTGCCAATATTTGTGTTGTGTCACCATGGTAACTGCTTAAAATTAGGGTGACCAGATGTCCCAATTTACCCGGGACAGTCCCAGTTTTGAGCCCGGTGTGCCCTGTCCCAACAGATTTATCCAAAACCAATGATTTGTCCCAATTTTATACAAGAAATGACCCAGGTGTCCTTATTTTTGACAAATTTTATCTCTGCCAACAGTAAAAAGAGGCATAAATTGTCATTTGTTTAGGTAAAATACAAAAAAGCATTTTAAAAATGACCAAAACACAAAGAAAATTCGATTATGCTGACTCACATGGGCCGAGTGTGTAACAATTTTCCTTAATTACACACTCATTTTACAATTTTATTATTACCCAAACCAGAAGAGTCTGTGTATTATTCGCTCATTTGTTTTTAAATATAAAACCAAAAATAAGAAAATGAAAAAACAACCATTTTCTTCATTATTTTTCTCCAAAACCAAAATGAAAAAACTGATAATGATTGTTTTTTTTGTTTTTGTTTTTTTTGATTTTGTGATTAAATTAATCATGGAAAAAATGGATAACAGCCATTTCCCATTTCTGTGACCTAAACTGCGATGTCGGACTTTTGTGCTGCATGCGAACTGAACCAGGACTGAACCACAATTAAACCGGAACCTAACCAGAACCTAACCAGAACCTAACCAGGACTAAACCATTTTCAGTTCTGGTCTAGTCCTGGTCTCAGTCCCGGTTTCGGTTCTGGTCTCAATCCCGGTCTGGTTCTGGTCTGGTCCCGGACCTGGTTCAGTCCTGGTTCAGTCCGTATGCGGCGCAAAAGTCCGACATCGCAGTTTAAGTCATGGAAACGGGAAACAGTCATCATCCGTTTTTTCCATTATTCATTTAAACACAAAATTTTAAAAATGAAAAACTGAATTGTTATCCTTTTAATTTTTTTTTTTTTCATTTTGGTTTGCACACAAATAATGAAGAAAATAGTTGTTTTTTCATTTTCTTATTTTTGGTTTTATATTGAAAAACAAATGAACAAATGATACAGGGAATCGGAAGTGTCCCAGTTTTTGATTGTGAAAATCGGATCACACTAGAAGAGAAAACATGCAGATGTTGTTGAAAGTTTTCAATAAATATTTAGTTTGGCTTTGACTTAGTCCCAGTTTTTAATTTTGCCCTCTGTGAATTTGAGTTTGAGTTTGACACCTCTGCTCTAGAGACTTTAGCATGTTTTTATTTTATGTCACGTGAACCCAACCTATTACAATATTCATTCACTTTCTTCACTGGAGCAAAGCTACTGCCATCAAACATGAAGCAAACGTCACATTCACACAGGCCGAGTGGGTGAAGTGTCTTGCCTAAGGACACAACAACAGTATGCACTAACATGAGCTGGGTCCAAACACCCAACCTTCTGAATTTCACATTTTATACCTTATGCATATATGTATGGAAAACAGCTTTTTAATATTGTATACATTTTCTTACAAGTTCTCACTCAGTGCCACTTGTCGTAATATTTAGGGCTGTTTAAGACTACACATTCTTCTGCTTAAAACAACTATTAAAACATTTAAAGACACAAACATTAATACAAAAATAAAATTCAAAATAAAGCGGATAATTCAAAATACTGCAGTCCAAAAGCACATTTTAACACTGAGTGGTTTTCCTTCGAGTGGTTTGACATGACAGAAAAAAACAAAACAAAAAATGATAATGTATTTGAGATTGTAAAAGGCAATTAAATTCAGTCATTATTTCCATCTTAGTGGTGTATTCTGTAGGGATGTAACGATATCCAAATCTCTCGGTACGATATTATCACAATATGCATCTCACGGTACGATATTTATTGCAATATTTTAAAGAGGTTGATAAAATTGTAGATGGGACACTTGTTTTTTTGCTTTCAAAAAATACCTTGACAAGATTTTGGTGTGAATTATTCTCATCATAATTCATAAGTAAAAAAACATTTCTTCATGTTGTCTGAAATGAATCATGGGATATGTAGTTTAATCCGTGTGTCATTGGTTCATTCATTTTTCAAAATAAAACCAAAAATAAGTAAAAGAAAAAACTATTTTCTTCATTATTTGTCTCCAAAACCAAAATGAAAAAGCGGATAATGATTAGTTTTTTCAGTTTTTAATGAGTTTAAATGAATAATGGAAAAAACAGATAACGACCGTTACAGATTTCCATGACTTAAAGGTTGTATAGAGGATTTTCCAAGGAACGAGAAATCCAGCGACTGTTTGTCCTTTTTCAAATGTTGCGCATGCGTGAAACCACCCCCCCTCCCCTACAGCTCCCTACGTAGAAACGCCTTCTCCCGCCTCCTCTTTACGCCAGAAACAGGTTTGTTTACAGCCGGTGCGCTGCACATGACTTGTAAACAACTAACTACAGTGTTGGTTAGGCAAGGCGGAGAAGTGAGGAGCGGGGGGAGCGGGTGTGCGGACATTTCGTTCGCGGACGAGAAGTGAGGAGCAGGGAGAAGAGCGGAGCAGGGAGAGAGGAGAGAGGAGAGGGGAGAGGTGCGCGGAGATTCCGTGCCCGGAGAAGTGAGGAGAAGGGGGAAGAGCGGAACGGGCAGCGGGGACAGGAGTAGGAAAGGGGAGCAGAGAAGGTTGCGCGGAGATTCAGTGCGAATGAACTAGCTACAACACGCAGCAGCAAGCGGACTCTTTCTTTGCCTTGAAAATTACATTTTCAGACATAGGATATCGCTTTCGTGTCCTGAAAAACGTTTGACTAGCTCTTGGAAATAAAGTACGTTTTCATAATAAGCAGAAGTTACCTGTCCAGGAGTAATTTGGCGACCAATGCGTCAGTCTTTAGACCCTGCGTCTGCTTCAGTCGCGCCATCGCTGGAATGAATCTACAAGAATCACCTTAGTTTGGCTTCGCTGCTTTTCCCCTTGTCTTCTTCTTTCAGCGACCTCAAAAACGGACTTTCTTTTGCGGCTAACTGCTCCTGGATTCTTGTCGCCATTGCAACAAACTTTGTGCTAACTGCGAGGAAGATATAGGTCAAAAAAAGCCGCTAAGAACTGTTGCGTTGGTGGAGTAAACAGCGTCTGTGCGTCTTGCGTCTGTGGACTGCGTGACAGGCGTACGTAAACCACGTACCGGCGGCGCGCAGGCAGGTCAGTTACGCTAGAAACGTAGGGAGATTGATTGACAGCCTGTCAGCTAACAGATAACGAGGCAATGTCGTTATCTATTGGCAAATGTTTAGCTGGCCCCACCACGTCCAGAGTTGATGAATTTTTATTCTCTTTTTTTTGGTCATCATAATTCCAAGGCTACTGCACCTCTATAATGCTATCATTGACAACTTGAAACAAAAAAAAACAAAAAAAAAATCCTCCATACAACCTTTAAACTGTCATGCCGGACTGAACCAGGACTAAAACAGGTCTGGGACCAGACCGGAACCAGACCGGGACTGAGACCAGGATTTGGTCTGGGACCAGGACCAGGACTGAGACCGGGGTCGAGACCAGAGCCGAGACCAGGACTGAGACCGGGACTGAGACCAGGACTGAGACCGGGGTCGAGACCAGAGCCGAGACCAGGACTGAGACCGGGGCTGAGACCGGGAACAGGACCAGGGCCGAGACCGGGACCAAGACCAGGACTGAGACCAGGACAAGGACTGAGAATGGGACTGAGAATGGGACTGAGACTGGGATTGACACCGGGACCAGACTAGATCTGAGACCGGTACTGAGACCAGACCAGGACTGAGAAAAGGACTGAGACTGGGACCAGAGCAGGACTGAAAACAGTTTAGTCCTGGTTTAGTCCTGATTAATTCCTGGTTCAGTCTGGCTTTGCAGTTTAAGCCACAAAAATGTTTTTTGGTTTTTTTTTATTATTCATTTAAACACAAAATCAAAAACTGAAAAAACAAATCATTATCTGTTTTTTCATTTTGGTTTTGGAGACAAATAATGAAGAAAATTTTTGTTTTTTGGTTTTATATTGAAAAACAAATGAACGAATGATACACAGATTTAGTTCCCTATGTTTATAAGCTGTCGCTACTATAGAACCATGCATTTACGCAAAGGAACTTGTAATTCGATATATTGTGAGAGCCCACGATATTATTGTGAGACTTTTGATGATTTGATATCACAATATTTTGGTTATTGTTACATCCCTAGTATTATGACTATTTTGAATTTTTAAGGCCAAAAGTACATATAAAACACGTTTGGCTCCTAATTTTAAATATTGCACTTTTAGTTTAAGTGATAGCGTGTAACTTTCTGAGGGTGGAAAGTCAACTGCAAACTTCATGGACATAAAAAGTTAAAACATACTTGCGAACATTCTCTGTGGTGATAAGTTTTATGCAATACGAACAAAATTTCCATGGAAACAAGCATTAGAAACTGAAATAAAGTCAGGTCTGTGGAGATATAAGCCTGCTCACAGTAAGGATGCTTGTTTTTATGTTTTTCAGTGCAAGAAACACGTCCATAATGCATTTATTTTTATCTATTTTTGGCAGAAAGTTACACACTGGGGCTTTAAAACCATGAGTTGTCAGTCTATCATTGTCAGAGTACATTATTGCATTGTTGCTTTCTCGTATCTACTATAATGTCCTAAAGATAATAGATTTCTCCTTATTATTTACTTTATATATTTAGTTTCGATTGCACCTTCTATAAACTCATATTTGTGTTTTAAACGGTAAATAGTAAAACAATATTGAGTAGTTAATACTGAAACACCAAACCTTTGCTCATTTGACTTTTTACCATAAACTTCACATGTACGATTACGATGAACAAAGAGGTATCGTATTTTCTCGTTCTATGTAAGACGTTTCCTTTATCCTTCAAAATATTAATATTATTGCCTGTCAAGTCCAGAATGATATCTCTGTATTTTATTTAATTTTATTTTTTTTCAGAGAAATATCAGATCGTCCAATCAGATTTGTTTATTTCATTGACGCATGTGAAACGAAGGAGCTCATTGGTTGCTCATTATTTACAAACAAAATCAAACTTCTCTCACTTCAGATTAACAGGGTTTAGTGGTTCGCTCAATGTCCCCAGTTACCGTATTTTTCGGACTATAAGGCACAATATCAGTAATGTTGAATTCTCTCGATTATTTTCATACATAAAGTGCACCGGATTATAAGGCGCATTAAGCAAAACAAATGGACGACACTTGAGATTGTTCCCTTAGCCCAGGCATCCACGATCCACTGGGAGATCGCGGCGTAATTCGCACGGTGTTGCCTCCTTGTCTTGTTGAATGTGTATTATGAATGTGGACGACTTAAATATACAATGAGTAATAATGTGCTTAATGCAGTTTTGCGCACATTTGTTTACATTTTACAGAAACAAAACTTTAAACCACATGGCTCATTTGCATAAACTATAAGTGCTGAAAAACAGCTTTCTCCTTGTGCGTTGATGCAGTCAGCTTCTGTTGGACTAAAGGACACGACTCAGGCCCTGTCCACACTAGTACATATTCGAGTTGTTTTCATTGCGGATGCAGTGTTCGTCCACACTAATCCGATTGAAAACGGCTCCAGAGACGGAACAATCTGGTGCCGCCAGCTCACACGAATTCATTTGAGTACAGATCTGATCCGGCACTGTGTGGACGCCTGAAAACGCTGATACGCTAATGTAGTTCTACACGCCGCAAAGTAATTCACCGCCAAAACACTACGTGGTTAGAATATATGTAAATTCATATATATGTATGTCTGTGTGTACGACCTGCAGATGTATAATCTCTAAAAAGTTTAACATGAACCATCTCCAACACGATAGAAGCACAGAACAGACTCACCATGAGAAGAACACCCCCTCTGTCACAGAAAGAACACTCATATTCCACTGAGTCGTGTCCTTTAGACCGACAGAAGCTGAACCGCATCAGCGCACAATAGTTTTTTGAGCACAAAACGTCAACAAATATGCTCAAAGCTGTGTGGATAGGGAAGGCTTGCGGACACAGAAACGACGTGTCTGGACACAGATCGTTTCCGATGCGGTGATACGCGGATTTGTTTCAGTGTAAACGTAGTCTCAGTGGAATATGTGTGTTCTTTCTGCGACAAGGCGACGGCAGCAGTGTGTGTTGAGTCGATGCAGAACTATACTTCGCCCTTTATTTGGTGAGGCTCCTGACTACTGTAGCTATAAAGCTCCGACAATTCATCAAGCGGTGCGGCGTCGTAGCTTACCAAAGTCGTACTAAAACATTTTGACAGCGCCATGTACCACATAAAATCAGTTTGAGGTCAGTAAGCACAACCAGATTTAATCCATAAGGCGCATTGTCGATTTTTGAGAAAATTAAAGGATTTTTAGTGCGCCTTATAGTCCGAAAAATCCGGTATATTTTTTCCATTCTTTTTTCCTCTTAAGCAGCCATATCTATTTTGACATGGATGAACCACGTGTGACCCTGATTGGCTAATCCACCTGTCAGTCACGCCCAAGTGAACTCTGGGAGATTCTGCGATGACCAGACTCACATCTTCGTAAAGTATTGGAGCAGTTTGTATTCTGGACCTCAGGCAATTAAGGTTATAGATTGATTAATACATAAGTAATGACTGAAAAACAATCCTAAAGGAACTTGTAATTTATGAGTAATAATAACATAAATTTGCTACATTTCCTCATGAACTTAAAGATGCACTGTGTAACTTTTCTGAGGCTGGGTTTGTAGATTTTATTGCTTTGCTTGGAACATTCCACAGGATAGCATCAAAAATATATAGCTCTTGTGTTTATTTCGTTTTGAAGTAGGCTAAATATTGCTCAAAAAGACCTTGAAAAACATGCATTTTTATGGAGCTTGGGCTTGCCTTTCCATAGATCTGACTTGTAACTTAGCCTGATTGTGCTGTCTTCCCAACCAGTTTGCTCAAGCTTAAGGTGTTTTAACTGCAAAAAACAGCATAAAAACCCTTGAAAAATGCGTTGTGACCTGTAACTTGCATTCTTCGCAAAGCAATAACATCTCCATGGACAGAAAAGTTACGTAATGCACCTTTAAATGAGTTGATCTTCGAAAAATAATACTACTAACTTTGCGAAAACTTGCTTTGACGTGTTGCTGCTAGTCCGTAAAGCCACTGGAGTGATTGAAAAGTCAACTGCAAAAAAAAAAAAAAAAAAAAAAAAAAAAGGCATAAAATGTTTAAAAAGACCCAAAAAAATGGCTTTGGTATGATGTAACAGTCTCCGTTTTGTTGTTAAAAAAGTTAGTTTGAAGCATCAGAGCTCAACACAGTGAAATGTAAGACGCGAAATTCAAAAAAGTTTAAAAAAGTCAATTCAAAACCATAAAAAGCTCAAATAAGATCCTTCCTTCAGTGTGTTCCTCTGTCTTGTTTTACTTCAGCTCGTTGGGATAAGTCTGTGTTTTGTGGCGCTGTGTCCCGTCGAAAAAGGCCCATGCACCACGAGGACCAATCAGAGCGTCCCACGGCTCTAGACTCCGCCTACAAAAGCGAACATCGGAAAAAACTCCTCTTGGGGCGATTCTCGGTGATTTTGACTGGACCTCCACCGCCGGGCGCGTTATTGTCATTCTGAGGAAGGAAATAAACTTGGTTACAGACAAACAAATGTATGTATTATTTTTTTTTACAAGGGATGATAATGGCAATATTGACATTTTATAAACATAAATTAAGAAAAAGATTTTGATTTTGTTCAACCCACCATTCTCCTGTTGAGTCTCGTCATGATGTCCCGGGCGAGAGTGAAAAAGGCCTGACAAGACAGATACAAGGTTTTTAAAGCTGCCATCTGTAATAAGAATGGCCGACCCTCCCCTGTTGTATTCTCACACTTCACCACTAGATGCTGCCTATGTTACTGCTGTCAGTGTGCATGACAGAAAAAGGCCAGAGGGGACAGGGTTAAAAAAAAAAAATAGCTGTTCATTGTTTGGGAATAGGGTTGTCCCAGTCCAATCATGTAATCAAAATTGGTGCCGATCACGTGACTGTGGACTCGATCCGGACTCGGACGTTATGTTCTGATCAGGTATATATAACTTTTTGCGGGATTTGCTCAGGGACGTCCCCCCAGCGCCTGCTGTATTAGCGGCGCACTTACACTGGGACTTTTGGGCCGTGTCGTGCTCAGGCGCTGTTACCTGTGGTTCGGTAGCCCGTGTTCACACCTGCGCAGCCGATGGCATCGTCGCACGGCGCTGTTTATTTACATGTTGTGTAGCGGAGTTGGCGATTTTAGTGGGGAGGGTGGGAACAGCGGAATGAAGTGTCTATTGAGCAGTGGGATCAATGTTGCGGTGCTCTGCTGTGGGTTTGTGGATGTGGCGGAGGTGCGGGGGACTGGGGGGCGGCCAGGGGAGAGAGGCTGTGGGGTTTCTGTCATCTTGTTTTTATTTGGTAAGATTTTGTATTGTTTGGAGATCATAAGCCTAAATGTTTCAAATGTAATGCACATGCAAACATATAATATCAAATGTACAAACTGTAGATTATGCAGAGTCTAGTCTCTCTGATTCTGGTTCTGTTTTGCTCAGTTCATTAAGTTTACTAAGTTACACATTCCAAGACCAGATTGTAGTAAAAGTAAAGATTTTCAACAATGATGATGAATGGTTAGAAAAGTTAATAAAATTACTTTTGGACATTTTTTCACAAGTTCAGCCCAAATACTACACATTGAAATCCATACAGTCTGATCCCCCCAAACATCCTGGATCTCATTCTTTAGTCTTAGCTCATTTCATAATGTTTTATAGAAGTATCGGATCGGGACTCGGTATGGGCAGATACTCAAAATCAAATGACTCGGAGGTAAAAAAATGCGATAGGGACATCCCTCTTTGGAAGTACTTAAACCTTAGTGGGTTTAGTTCAGTTTTAGACACTCACCTCTTCTACATTGATCCCGGACTTTGCACTGGTCTCCAAAAACTTTATTCCATAATCGATCGCCAACTAGAAACACCAAAACAAAATGGTCAGTCTTTAAATATAATATCATTGGTTTACACTTAAATACATTCACACAGTCCGTACCTTCTCTCCTCTTTCTTTGGACACCTGTCTCTTGTCGTTCATGTCGCATTTGTTCCCCAGAATCATCCTCTCCACGTCAGAGGAGGCGTGCTGAAAAATACAGGGATGGTTAGTTTGTTTGTTTGTACAAAAGAAAAACTGTAAAGCAGAAATGTTCAAACTATGGCCAGGGGGTCAAATGCTTGTGGGTAAATTGGCCCATGAAAATCTATCTTGATGAAGCAAATATGAAATATGAAATATGATTTAAATTATTCTTTAGGCTCATCATCACTCTATGCTCTTCCATCGGCCCTCCACTTTGCCTGTGTTTTGCAGCCCTTGATAAAAAATATAAAATATATACCGCTGCTGTATAGAATTATTACAGCATTCACTATAGGACATTTTTGATTGATTGACAAGCTTACTTAATTTGAGTAGTGGTTAAAAGCTTTTGGGGAAAGTAGTCATGACGTGTATGTGATTCATGCAAGGTGGGGGCACAGAAAAATAATCTAATCACAACCATTTTAATTACGCTGTAGTGAACGATATAAAAGAATAAGAACTTCGCACATCAATTACTTGAGACAGGTGCGTTGGAGGAAGAGGGAGCAGCCCAAGAACATAGAGAAAAACACAGAGAAAAATCCCGCACACCATATTACTTGCAAATTGTGAGATTTATTAGGAAAAAACGTGTAACATTTCAGCACTAGGCAAACAGAATGAGAAAAATAAGAAGAGTATCGAGATACATATAGACAGTTTGCCCTAATAAATCTCCCAATTTGCAAGTAAGACAGTGTGCCTTATTTTTCTCTATGTAATTAGGTTGTAGTTGAAATCAAAATTAGTCACATGAAATCTCAGTAACGTTTTTACTTGACTAATTTGTTTGATTTAATCCAATCCAATCCACTTTATTTCTATAGCACATTTCACAGTTTCCAAAGTGCTGCACAAATACATAATAATAACAACAATAATAAAATGATGAAATAAAGGAAGCCAGTGCAAAGAAGCAAGGATAGGGGTAATGTGCTCTCTTTTTGTTCCTGTTAAAAGTTGCGCTGCAGAGTTTTGGACTCACTGAAGTCGGTAAAGTGTGTTTTGTGAGATGCCGGAATAAAGCGCATTACAGTCGTCCGGGCGTGATGAAATAAAAGCGTTCATGACTTGTTCAAAAAGTATAAAAGTTAAAAAAGGTTTGACTTTAGATAAAAGCCGCAAATGATAAAAACTTGAAATGAATTAAAATGATTAAAAACACCACTGATCTGTGTGTTAAATTTAAAATCACTGTTTATTTAAGACACCATTGAATGACTAAACAAGTGAAGGATGACAGAATGACCGTCACAGTTTGGTGTCTATTTTACTTTTCTCAAATATATAATTTCTGTAATCACTGGGTGTAATAATCACAATTTATTGCTTCATTCCACAGCCTTAATGCATTGACTCTGGATATCCACTAGAGGGCAGCACATACAAAGTTTTGAGTGTTACTTTATGACATAACTGTGCAACTGGAGTCTCACCTCCTCGATGTTCCTGATCCAGTTCTTGATGTTGTCAAAGGATTTCTCCATGGTGATGTCATACACCAGCATGATGCCCTGCACGGACAGGAAGTGAGGTCAGAGGGGACAGGAAATGACATCGGCACGGGAAGTACCAGCTCTAATCGCACAGAAACAAACCCGAGCCGAGGGAGAGGCCAGGAGACAGAGTGAGACGAAAACAATGCAGAAGTTTACAACTATTGAGCTGTAGAAATAGATTTATATTGTCCAGACCAGGAAGGTTAAAGGTGCACTGTGTAACTTTTTGTTTGGGGGTCTGTCACCTGCTTGTTTCTATGGAGATGTCATTGTTCTGCCTGAAATGTTCCACAGTATGACATTAAACAGCTCAAATTTACATGTATTAAATTACAAGTGGTTTTAAAGCTCAAAAATACCTAGAAAAACAGGCATTCTGACTGTGAGCGGGTTCGCCTCGCCACAGATCTGACTTGTAACTTGATCTGCTTTGGTCTCCATGAAGACAGAAAGGTTTAATGCCATACTGTGAAACATTCCAGACAAAGGAATAACATCTCCATGGAGAATATGCGCATTTGACGAACCTTCCACCAGAAAAGTTACACAGTGCACCTTTGAGAATAAATACTGCACCAAAAAAAAGTCAACAACAAATTAAACTTCACTGTAGGAGGAGGATACTAACTAGAGGCACTGCCCTGTTTGAAGCTCTGGTACTGAAGTTAGACAATCTAACCATAAAGAACTGACTTAGCTGGAACTACAACAGGTGAGCTGGTACAATATTTTATTTTGTGCACATTTTCTTTGCACTATTGGGAAATGTCTGTTATTTTTTTGCCTATACAATAAGATTTAAGCCATAAAAGGTTCAATTAATAATGTCTGTGACTCAGTACAGAAGCAAACTCTGCACTAAAGCAGACATGTCAGACTCACAAATTTGGCCCAAGTATGTATTAGAGGTGGCCCCCCGGCTGCAGATAGACTATAGAGCAGGGGTCCCCCAACCCCCACTACAGGGCCGTAGGTCGTTTGGTGCAGGGCTGCAAAAGCACCCCCCCCAAGCCAGAAGTAAACCAGGACTAAACCAGGTCTAAACCAGGTCTAAACCAGGACTAAACCAGGACTAAACCAGGACTAAACCAGGACTAAACCAGGACTAAACCAGGTCAAACCAGGTCTAAACCAGGTCTAAACCAGGACTAAACCAGGACTAAACCAGGACTAAACCAGGTCAAACCAGGACTAAACCAGGTCTAAAACAGGACTAAACCGGGACTAAACTGTGTCTAAACCAGGTCTAAAACAGGTCAAACCAGGTCTAAACCAGGTCTAAACCAGGTCTAAACCAGGTCTAAAACAGGTCAAAACAGGTCTAAACCAAGTCTAAACCAGGACTAAACCAGGTCTAAACCAGGACCAAAACAGGTCTAAAAACTGGCCTAAAACAGGGTCTAAACCAGGACTAAAACAGTCAAGACTTAACCATGCTGCCGCACCGTGCATCGCACCTCCTCCCATTCGCCGCCCCCCAACTCCCACAGGTCTGCCAAATATTGTTTGATATAAAACTGGTCCGTGGTGCAAAAAAGGTTGGGGACCACTGTTGTCAAACTTGTTCTGGATTTAATGTTTAAGTAAAACTATTATTAAACATTTATTTTAATACGAAAAGAAGAGAAAACATCCACATGTTGTTGACATTTTTCAGTAAATATGTAGTTTGAGCCACAACTTAGTCCCAGTTTTTAATTTTGGCCCTCTGTGAATTTGAGTTTGACACCCCTGCATTAAAGTGTTTTATTCTGCTTTGTCTATTGCAGCTCATGGGTTTTTAAGCATATTGTAAATTTAGATCATTTTTGGGGTTTTGTGGTTTTGGGTGTCTGTGCCAGTAGCTTAAATTAGTTTCAGTGTTATCGCTAAATGTCTATATTTACTTCAGCAACACTAGTATATAACACTTCAAAATGTGTTGCTGTGACAGGTCGAATCTGTACTAAACAAGAACTAAAACCGGACTGAACCATGTTTATATTTAGACCCAAAAAGCGACTAAATTGGATATCAAATCTAAACAAGACTTTTCTAAATAAACAAAAGAATAATTAATTTGTTTAAAATAAAATAAATAAAAAGAAAAAATATAATAATAAATAAAATAATAATAATAATAATAATAAGGGAAGGGCACATTAACAATTTCATTATCGCCAACAATTATTTTTCACCACTTAATGCAGTTTTTTTTATTATTTATTTTTTTATTGTACAACTCTGTTGCTCACTGTCTTTTATTTTGAAAAAGTTAATCACGAGCGAGCCTAGAATGTCTTTTTATTTGTGTATTGTGACAAAGTTTGATCACATGCACTTTACTTTTCTCATGCAATTAATGTGATAAATATTTTTTATTTTTGCCCAGCCCTAATAATAATAATGCATTAGTCTTACATTACATAGCACTTCCAGAAGCTCAAAGTCGCTTCACAATTTAGTGCGTTATTCATTCACTCCACACTTGGCGATGGTTAGACAAACTTAGACAAACTTTATCTGTAATTTATATGTAATTTACCACAGGGGAAATTACATTAGCTGCCAATCTGCGCCATCTTCCCCTCCGACAACCACCAACACAAAAAACTTTACTAAGACGAGTGGATCTGGAGCTGTGTCCTGTCTCCCTGATTTCAGAGGGTGTGATTGACAGATGGATTAACCAATCAGAGAGATGCATGGAAAAAAGTCTATTGACAGGACAGAGAAACAGTGCAGAATTTTAAAGAATCAACTATCGAAGCACTGATCTATGACTTATTTCAGGTCATTTTTATATTTTCTTCTGAATGTTCTGAGAATTTTCGAGGAGATTAGCAGCTGTGGTTGGACCGTCTCAAGATTGGACAGAGGATTTTCATGCTCTATGGTCCGGTTCCAGACTCTTCGGGATTCAAACAGAATGTAGAAGGAACTGTCTGGTTAGGCAACGCTCACACCACTTTCATACCAAGGAATGTGGGTGAATCAGAGTCCTGCACCAGGTCGGGTACCCGCAAATGTGTCGCTGAAACAGGCGGGTTTTAACGTTCTGGAGTTTTACGGGCGGGTATGCAGGCGGGTAGTGATCACACACGGGCGGGTCTGGTGAATCTAATGCACAACGAATGTGAGAAAAATACCTGACGTGTCCAGGACGTCCGTTGCCCTGGAAACAAGTGTCATTTCCCGGTCTTTTCCTGGAACGATTGACCAGGCTGAGAGACTGGCTTTAGTGTTTTTATGACATAAAACCAATCAGCAGAAGGTGATCGGCTCCCAGGCTGCATTCCTGGTTTAATCCTGGTTTAGACCTGGTCCAGGCCTGGTCCTGTCCTGGTTTAGACCTGGTTTAGGCCTGGCCCAGTCCTCGTGTAGTCCTGGTGATCGGCTCTGCAGTTTGCGGCGTGTATATATTTATAACTCGCTGATGACACGGCGTAGGTTCAGTCCTGGTTTAGTCCTGGTTTAGACCTGGCTAAATCCTAGTTTAGACCTGGCTAAGTCCTGGTTTAGACCTGGCTAAGTCCTGGTTTAGACCTGGCTAAATGCTGGTATAGACCTGGTTCAATCCTGGTGTAGTCCTGGCAATTGACTTTGCGGTTTGTGGTGTGTATATATTTATAATTTGCTAATGACATGGCGTAGGTTCAGTCCTGGTTTAGTCCTGGTTTAGTCCTGGTGTAGTCCTGGTTTAGTCCTGGTTTAGTCCTGGTTTAGTCCTAGAGATTGGCTCAGTGATTTGCGATGTGTATATATTTATAATCCGCTAATGATACGGCGTAGGTTTAGTCCTGGTTTAGACCTAGCCAAGTCCTTTGTTTAGACCTGGTCCAGTCCTCGTGTAGTCCTGGCGATTGGCTCTGCAGTTGCGAAGTGTATATATTTATAATTTACTAATGACACGGCGCGGGTTCAGTCCTGGTTTAGACCTGGTTTAGTCCTGGTTTAGTCCTGGTTTAGTCCTGGTTTAGACCTGGTTTAGACCTGGTTTAGACCTGGTTTAGACCTGGTTTAGTCCTAGAGATTGGCTCAGTGATTTGCGATGTGTATATATTTATAATCCGCTAATGATACGGCGTAGGTTTAGTCCTGGTTTAGACCTAGCCAAGTCCTTTGTTTAGACCTGGTCCAGTCCTCGTGTAGTCCTGGCGATTGGCTCTGCAGTTGCGAAGTGTATATATTTATAATTTACTAATGACACGGCGCGGGTTCAGTCCTGGTTTAGTCCTGGTTTAGTCCTGGTTTAGTCCTGGTTTAGTCCTGGTTTAGTCCTGGTTTAGTCCTGGTTTAGTCCTGGTTTAGTCCTAGAGATTGGCTCAGTGGTTTGCGGTGTGTATATATTTATAATCTTCTAATAACACGGCGTAGGTTTAGTCCTGGTTCAGTCCTGGTTTAGTCCTGGACTATTAGGCTGTCGGTGTACTGGGCTGACCCTGATTTATTACGGGCGGGTAACGGGTGGAATGTTAACGGGTCTGGGCGGGGGCGGATTTAACTTTGATTTAATCACGGGTTTACGGGCGGGTGTGGGTCTCCGAAAACAGACCCTTGCAGGACTCTGGGGTGAGGTGTCTTGCCTAAGGACACAATGACAGTTTTTTTTTACCACTTTACCACTGACTTAGACTTAGACAGTCTTTATTGATCCAGAAGGGAAATTATTTCGACACAGCTCACACATCACAATATATTATAATAACAAACAGTAAAAATAAAGTAATAAGCAAAAAAAAAAAACTAAAATCAGCTCCTGAGTTCTGGTGAAATCAGACTTTGACACGGAGGTTTCACTCACCATAGCTCCTCTGTAATAGGCCGTAGTAATAGTTCTGAATCGCTCCTGACCTGCTGTGTCCCTGAAACAAAACACGTCTCTTATTACCGGAGATACAGATAATTTAGCAGAATTTATAATAGAAATCTGTTACACAAAGATCCGTTCTACTGAAAACCATCTTTGTTTATTTTATTGCCACTACCACAGTTCTGAAGAATCAATGGGGCTCTTCAGGAAAACAGTGAATTTGTACCAAGGTAGCCAAGAGTTATAAACAAGTTAAAACTGGAAAAAAAGCACTCACCATATTTGGAGTTTGATTTTCTTGCCGTCCAACTCTACCGTCCTGATTTTGAAGTCAATACCTATGAAAAAACAAAACAAAACAAAACATTATTGTCATGTGAAACTTGAAGTTAAAAGGTGCATTATGTCTCTTTTCAGGTGGATGCCTCATCACCTTCTTCTCTACATGGAGGTGTTATTGTTTTACTTAGAATGCTCCACTACTGCGACAGGAAACACAATTCCTGTCATATCCAACATTTTGAGGACTTTTTTCCCCTCAAAAATATATAATGTTTTGTTTTAAATTGTTATTTTGCAATGACAGCAAATTTCATCGTTCTGATATTAGTCTACATTAGAGCACTGAAACTCGACCGGAGTCTTGACGGGCTCGGTCGGACTCAGATAAATGTTTAGAACTTATGCTTGGGCTCAGGTCAGACTTGGACAAATCTGTGCAATAAGACATTTAAAATATAAAATTGAAAACGGCTTAGGTTGTTATGTAGGTAGCCAATGGGCCTGTTTTACTTCCCGGCCCCCGCTGATGCGCTCCGCTCATCTGTGTTGACATTCCTGAATTCCTTTTTTCAGTTGATTGATAAAATCAGACTTTCCACACAAACAGTATCCTACGTTTGTCATAAATAGACCTGAGAAGAGAGTCTGATTTTAATTGTGTCAAGTTTGTTCGGACTCGCAAATATCTTAATGCCTATCGGGCTCGGTTTGGATTCGATCACTGCTCTAATGGACCAGTCTCAGAAAAAAATTGTCCCAATCCACACTCTAATCTACATGCATTTATTCAGTACTAGCGTTTTTATTGCTCAAACATATCTTGACAAACGTCTCCATGGAGATAAATGAGTTTTATGCCCTTTGTTTACTAACCATCGGTGTTGATGTATTGTCTTGAAAGGGGGGCAGATAACATAAGATTTCTCTTCTTTCTGCTCTTTTTCATTCATTTCTTGTATGTCTGATGTTGTAACACTGCCGATGTCTTTTTATACTTTAGGAATGAAATAAATAAACAACTACAGTGGAATATTCTTAATATTCATAATACAGTATAACACAAATATGGTTGGCTTCTGCGTAAGGGGCAAGATAAGGACATAAATCATTAATAAACAAACATTGGTGGTATTGTGTGGGCAAGCTGTTAGGGCAGAATGTTGTTCCAGATAGAGTTTAAATAAAAGAAGAATTTTGTCTGGAAATCTTAATCTTTTTCTAGATTAACAAATAAGAATTATAATGTTCATGATTTCCATTTCTTTGAGGAAACGCTGGGAAAAACAATAACCAGAAAACTTACATGATAACGCATCTTTAAAGACTACCATGAATCAAAACACAACGGATTCCAGGCACTCCAAAAAAGTAGAAAAAAGTTTTTAAAAATCGCACGAGGAAAAATATAGTAGTGCGATTTTTAAAAAACTTTTTCTACTTTTTTGGAGTGCTTGGAATCTGTTGTGTTTTAGTTTTGATCCTTTTTTCCAAGAGCACCCTCTACCTGCTCCTACTGATTGGAACACCTGCAGCAAACAGACACATTTTTGTTCTTACTACTCTGAATCAGTTTGTGAAATTGGCACTACAAATGTGCATCCATTAGTATTATCATGGCATGTATTTATATTACCACATGACAGAGTGTTTTCCGTTTGAAAGAAGAACTCAGCCTAAATATGCAGGGTTTGTGTGTTAACAAAACAATTCCAGGTTTGTTTTTGATAAGGAAACAACATTATAACATAAAGTCAGAAAATAGTGAATCATGAGACCTTTAAAAACATGAACGCAACATATTTCGTCGACATATTTGGGCAGGTCTATTGGGTTTCCGACGTTCCCTTTTGCAGGAAGACCAACTGCTGACCACAAGCTTTCATCAAGGACTCATCCCTCTTCCTCCTGTGGCTCTAATAACTCTGTCTGCACATGTTTAAGTGTGTAACTCCACCCGCCTCGGACACACGGGTCATCTAAACAAGCGCTCTCTCTACAGGGCAGCGGCTGGGTGTGCCCGCTGCAGAAAACACCATAGAGGATGTGAATATAACAGACTCAATATTTCCTGTTTTAAAATGCAATGCAGATTTGAAGGCGTGTTTCCGCCAGCGAGGGGTGATTCTTGACCTGGAGGTTGCTGGTTCAAATCTCTGCTCTTCCTGTATCTGTTCTGACTACACACTATCTTCTAGGAATGTTGTATTAGTTATCAGTCATTTGCGATATCAGACGGTGGCCTCAGATAACGTATCGGTGCAATATAAAAAAAAATAATAATCAGTGCTTGATATCGGTTAAAATTTTTTATCTTGTGCCTATGTAAACTATGTAAACTTTGGTCTTTTAGAGCAGACTGCATGAGTGAAATATGAATTTACACCCCAAATAAATTCACTTAAATAAGAAGAAAACTAATATAAATTAATTTGTAAACCTTACTATCATCTCTAATAGGGCTGGGTATCATTAAGAAGTTGCCGATGCGATACAAATCTCGATACATAGGCCACGATACGATACATACCTCAATACAGTGCATTTTCGATTCAGTACGATATATTTCAAATCGATTCGATACAGTTCAATAAAAAATAAACGCTAAATCATGGCTGTGATACTTAAAGTCTTTGTTAAACCATTTCTTGTGCAAAGTGAAAATGAAACACAAACATTTTAATCATCAAAACAGTGAAAATGTTGCATAAACAAGTTTCCTTCCTCTGAACAAACAACAAAACTGTAGCAGTGTAACAAAATAATTTAGTAAAATATACCAAAAAAAAAAAAAACTCTCCCAGCAATCCCTACCCCAGAGATTTGTGTGTATGTAACTTTTCTGGGTCTGCTGCTTGTCTCCATAGAGATGTTATTGCTTTGCATGTAATTTTCCACAGGCTGACATTAAACTTATATGTCTTTGCATTTATTCAATTACAGGTATTTCACGGCTGAATAAATACCTTGAAAACATACATTTGTACTGCACTTGGGCTTGTTTCACCACAGATCTGATCTATAACTTGGCCTAATCATATCACTTGTTGTAGTGACTATTTGTCAAATAAAAGTAACAAACAAAACCGTGAGCCAACTCAGAACTAAACATAACTCAAATAATCACCTTTGGGCAACATGGGTATGTGGTTTACGCAGTACAAATCAATGTCCATGACTAGAGATGATTTTCCAAGATTTATTTTCCAGTTTTTTGGCAAGCAACAAGGAATACATGTTTAAGGCCTACTCCTGCTGCCTCTCCTCGTGACTGGCAAAAAACCATAGGCCCACCCAGGTGCCCTCTGGTCTATGCGTACCACCCTCCTTTATCCCCTAGGTGACCCAAATTATATCAGAAACAAAAAAGAGGTGCTAACGTAAATAATACCAACTTAGACTAAGAAATTAGTAAGAATAATATTAACATAGCAAAAATATATTATACAAATTAACAAAACTAAATTAGTAAACTAACTAAACAAACAAAAATAATAAACTAATTTTAGAATCAACAAAATAAGCAAATGGCTCCTACACTTGTTTCTAGTTATAGTTACTAGTTAAGCCATTAGTGTTGCCGTGAAAGAAGGTTTCAAACTTGATTTTGATCCTAAGGAATAGACTAGGTACTAAATACTTAAAGTACACAATACATGCCACTTTCAACATTTAATAGTACTTTCTTTTCTATTTCCATGTGATCTTATATCTGTGTAATCTCTCAGTGGTCCAGGTAGGTTCTACAGTGGTCCATGTGTGTTTACTAGTCTATGTGCTCTTGTACTTGTTCTGATACAGCTCAAGATCATTCTAAAGTAAAGTTGCAGGATTATGGAAAAAATCATTATCATGGTTATTTTGGTCAATATTGAAATCACAATTATTCAACTGATTATTTTATAGTTACACAATGCATTTATTCAGCATTTCTCTCTCTCTCTCTCAAAACCCCCCCCAAAACGTATTGGTAATTTACGCAAACCTTTACCTTAGAGCAGTTTTGCGATGTATAAAACATAAAATGAATAAAATATACTTTGAACATGAAATAAGGCATACAAAAACATAAATGTATCCAAAATCGAGCTGTTCTACAATCTCTATATTTAAAAAATAAAATAAATATACTAAATATTAAATAAAATAATAAATAAATAAATAGGCTTTGTGAAGCTTTAATTTGTTTCAACTCAATTATATGATTTTGGAGAGCATCTGACACACAAATCAAAATCGTGATCAAATTTCAATTAATTGCACAGCCTTATTTTAAAGCTATTCAGAAAAAGTTCATTTCTGTCCTGTGAATGTGACTTTTTTAGTATCGATACCTGCCCAAATGCCTAGTTTCGATACTAGTTCTGGTATCTGATTTTCGATACTTTTGACTTTTTACTGTAGACACAGCACATGAGCACGGATTGAACCAGCATCCTTTGGGTCACTGTAAACTCCCTGTTCAATTGTAATAAAGTTTGACTGTGTAGAAAACATGGATTATAATATTTTATTCTTGGTCCTTTCCTCTCATTCTTCAGCGCGGGCTCTCTGTAACCAGGAAGTGAAACTGTGCTGGGCTGGTTGTTACGGAAACAGCTCGAGGTCAACGTCCTCTGAAACTACGCAAGAGCTGTACAATATTTCAACATTTAAACATTTTTGTCCAGTTTATAATTTGTCCACAAAACCTCACACAGCTTTGAATTATAAGTTTTGGAATATTTTGTCTCGTGATTCAGGTTATTAGATGATCACATTATGTTTTAAAAGTCCAGTATTAAGCAAAATTGACTCTTGTGAGCTTTAAGCCATATTATAATGTTATTACCTCATCAAAAACATATCTGGAGTTACATTTTGTTTCATTCACACATGTCTGAGTAATCCTAAATATTAGTCCTTCTCTCCAAAACTCAAAAAGCTCTGTTCCACCTTGTGATGTCATGTAGTGGTAGTTTAAGTTAACAGCTCCTTTTACCTTTAGTTCAGGAGAGATTGGCAATTCCAGAGCTAAAATCATCCAAATGGTTCTAGTGAAGGTGCATGGAGTTTAAAA